ATTACTCATGTGAAAACAAATGAACATCAACAAAATCCCTTAGGACAGCTATGTGTAAATACAGCGTAAGAGATGCTCGTACACTCTTAGAAGCCTTTTAACTTGTTTCTCTTCTGGCGTTGCTTGCTGACATGCTGTATCAAGATGCCAGCAAGAATCCTGAAAACAGCTCTCTTAGACATTTCTGCTACAGTGTGCTATCACACTGCCCTCTAAACTGTGACAGGCCAAAAACGCATGCCTGGAGCACTGACTTGAAAAGTGCAAGCAGTCTGGTGAATGACATCGTTTCTGGTTTTACATGTTGACACTTCATTTTGTAACCTGCAGGTTTTTCTAAGATCAGCTTTAGGAATCAGTGTCACGAGGAGTTGTTCTAGCCAACACAGTTTCTTTTTTTTCCTATGATCAGGTTATCACTATATTTTCTGCCTCTAACTATTATGAAGAGGGAAGCAACAAGGGAGCGTACATCCGACTGAATCCGGACCTGATTCCTCATTTTGTACAGTATCAAGTGCGCGAGTGCACAGACAAGCAGAACTACTGGGAGAGGTAAAGATGCATCCTCATGTGTGCAGTGAGCGTGAGCACCTGCTGTAAATCTGTAGCTTTATTTTACTTTGACAGGCATCTGTTTTCCTTCTTTTTCTGTTTTTCCCATTTAAATATTAATACAGAAGGCAAAAATGTATTTGGAGTGCTCTGACTTAGTTTCCTGAGAAATTCCCAAAGGTAATTAAGAGCTTAGAACAGACGATTGTCAGGGACTCCTGAAGAGCCTATGCCTGTCTGTCAGGTCTGCTTTAAGGCTGCAGTGTTAATCTGGAGAAATCCTGTTATGAATGGAGTCCAAAAAGTTTATCATTACAGCTTTGCCATGCCTAGCACTGTGGTCAGATTTACTAAAGCAAAGCAGCTTAGAATTACCTGCATAAACTTGATTATCTCTTAAGTTCAGCTTATTCTTCTGGGGCTTTGTTTTGTTTTTCCCCAGTGTTGCCTTTTAGGATGACCCTGATGACGCTGCATGTTCAAGAACAGAAGAATTTGATAATGAGTGTTGAAAAGCATAAATTGCTGGAGGATTAAAATCCTTTAATGATCAGCTTTGCTTTTTTTTTTTTTTTTTATCTCAGGGTGAAAACAATTGAACGTTCTGCCTTGCAAATCTTACAAGAGAAGATTTTTGCTCACAGGTCTACGCTCACTGAGGCTTTTGAAAAGCATGACTGCGACAACACAGGTAACGCCACCTCTTATGTGTGCATGGGGGCCTGCTGGCCTGAGGCTGGTTGGTGACACACTCTCACTCCTCCTAGCAGAAGATGTAAGTCGTGAATGCTTATCCTTAGAAAGCAACTTGGAGGGTGGGGTGGGACGTTAAAGTATGAAGAAGGGAAGAATTAGAACACGTGAGCAAACTCACTGGGCAGAGAGTTTGGGCAGGGAAATCTGATTCCAGAAGCTCAAAAGTCAACACCTTCACTCGGGAGCATCTTCAGATGTCAGCCAGGGAACTGGGGGCTCAGAGGATGGAGAACTGGTCTCCTAAGTCTGGGAGCTCTTTGAGTAGTGTGGCTAGGCCACCCACTAGTGGACAAACAGTCATGCATCAGCTGAAGAAAAGTCAGTAATAAATTGGTAGATGAACCTTTTATGTAGGAGCAAGGCATTGATGACTTCTGGCACAAATACAGCTTTTTCTCCTGATGGCTTCTCACCTGACAAGGTTGTCATCTGTGCCCCTAAAATGGCAATTGATAAGGTGTTGGTGCTGGTTCTCCGGCTGCTGAGCAACCGATCAACATATTTCTGCCTTGTTGACTTTTCAGCCATACATCTCTATAGATGCAACTCAGCTCAAATCTGAAGCGCGCTTCATAGAATAATTTGGTTTTCTCCAGAAGTTTTAAAGCATGCTGACCATCATAATAGAATGACAAAATTGTTGCTGTTGAAAGGGACCTGTGGAAACGTTTGGTCTGACCTTGCTGCTCACTGTTAAGAATCTTTTTATTCCCCAGCATTAGGAGAAAATGTTCATGTTTCGTGACCTCTTAAACAAAGTCAGAAGGCATGCTGGTGTCTGATTTGTGCTGCATCATGTACCAAATGTAACCATGAACTGACCCCTTTGGCAGGCAACATTTCTGTCAGTGACTGGGCAGCAGCGATGGAGTCTGTCCTCTGCCTCGAACTGCCCTGGAGGACACTGCTGCCCCATTTAGCCAAGACAGATCCAGATGGAAAAGTTGACTACATGTCGTGTTTTCACAATATGGAAATAGCTCAATCTACAGAAGAGGTAAGGAGGAAAACGCCTCTTTGCAAATCTGGGAGGGAGAGCTTTTTGCAATTTGAGGCACAAGACAGTGGTTTGGCCAATCCGGTAGACATCTACATCTGAACTAGTTACCTAGCTTCCTTTTATAGTCATTGGAGGGAAACAAGTACTTCTAGGGCACGAATCATCATTCCCTGCTAAGGTAGATTCTTAAAATAGGTTGGATGAATCACACGCTAGAACTGCTTCCTACTTTCCGGTGACTCTCAAGGGCATTTAGATAAGGTAGCTGAGGAGATATGTGATGAATCCCACTCGGAGCAGCTTTGCAAATGTGCACAGAACCAATTCTGGCACCTGTAGGATGAAGTCACAGTTGGAGATGGGCTGGAGATGTTTGACCATCTATAGCTGAGGTCTCTTCTTCAGAGTCCAGTTGTTACTGCGCAACTGCTTAGCGGTTTGGTTCTTAGCTCTCACCACCATTTTTCTAACATTGAACATTTGATGTGAGTGCATGACACCCAGCATTTTCTCTAGGTCATTAGTATTTCCACAAATAATCACTGAAGGTAGGAGGTGTGAAGGGTTCCTTTACAGGATCCTCTCACCCAGAAGGGACAGGTTTTAGCTGATTTGGGGCAAGACAAAATATCATCTCTTGGAACTCAAGCATAAGGCATTTTTCCTAGTATTTGACAAGTTAAACTGGGAAAATAGATTTGTATAGTACATATTCTGGTGGCTAAGCTTACTCAAACCCAAGGTCTGAATGCTTTCCTGTGTATGATTTCAACACCAGGTTCAGCCAGCTTTGGTTGAAACGCTGTGCAAATACAGAAAAGAGCTGGAGGTAATCTTTAACATCATGGACGAAGATCACTCAGGTAAGTGCCTGTAACTTCACAGCACCAGCCCTAGGAAGCCTCTACTACTTATCTTTCCCCATGGTTTCCTCCTTAAGGCTTCTATATATAGAGGAACCAGGGGTGATGTCATTTTTCCACTTTAGTGAAGACTAATTTCAGCAGTCAGGCTGTACCCATATAAGGGACAGCGCACAGAGCCTAATTCAAGAAAAAAATCTCACATACTCAATTTCCAGTACTGGTGTCACTTTTGGGGGCTTTTTCTCCCTTCTCCTCACACTCTCGGTATTTACTGCTTTCTTAATTCCACTGTTGAAAGCGGTAGCTCCTTGCCTGCAGTAAAAATGTACTTCAGCCAGGAAATCACAAAAAATCACGCAAGCCACGGTAGGCAGGTAACTGTCTTGCAATAAAGGAGTGTGCACGCATGTAGAACGGGGAAACAGCACTGGAAGAAGCAATTTGCCATCTGTCTCCTTTAGGTTTGATTTCTTTTGATGAGTTCCGCAAGACCTGGAGAATCTTCAGTTCTCACCTGGGAATTGACGCGTACGATGCCTCCATTGACAAGCTTGCCCAGAGCATCGACTACAACAAAGACGATTACATTGACTTCAGCGAATTTTTAGAGGCCTTTCATGTGGTTCACAAACGAGACAAGAAGCCAGCCTAATGAAGAGGCAGAACTTCTTGCAGGTTGTCATGGAAGTTCACCTTCCTGTCATGAGTCACAAGCAGCCTGGGAACCCAATTTCCACACTGACAACCAATAAATAGTAATAGGTGTTGTGGTCACTGTGATGATGTAAACCTGCTAGTAATGAGACCAGAAGAGATGAAAAATCACCATATACAGTATTACTGCCTCACTGCCACATCAGTACCTTACAATTTATCCTCACTCTTGGTTTCACCTCCTCCACCTATCTTACCTGTGAATATTACCAAGGTAGCACCTACAACCTCACGGGAGGAGAAACTTTGGTATGTTTCTTTCTGCAGCCCTTAGAGACAGATGAGAAACAGTATTAGTGACCACAAGGAATATATCTGTCACTCCCTGGGGATATAGCATGAACAACAGAGGCTTTCTGTGGACTGACTATCCAGCCCAGGCGAGATTAAAAAAACAAAAAAAAAGAAGAAGGAAAAAACCCCATATCATTAAAATAGGAAAATAGGTAGTTCTGCATTTAATCTTTCTTTTTGCATGATGCAATAAAATTAAAACATTCCAGGTGACTATGTATCCTCTCTGAAGTTTACAGACCCAACTTAAAGGGTCTTATTTGAAAGGCGTTTACACTTGCAATAGATTTGTTCTTGCCAATGGTTACTTTTGCCTTATGGTTGTTGGGGTTGGGAGCCAAGAAACAGTCATAACCTGTCACTTTAATGCTGGCTAAATCCATAGCATGTTAATATAATGTACAATAGATCCTAAACTAAAGCTTCAGCTTTCACAGTAATGTGTGTGCGGTGTCTTTTTGCCTTTACTAGTGTACTAGTTGGTAGGCTACACATAACGAAGTAAAACACTTTTTGCCTGTAGTTGAACTGCATTTCTTTAAAACCAGGAGATGGATAAGAACACAGAAGTAACAAAGTTTGGTATTACCGAACCTAAATAATCTTGCATACAGTTGAGCATAAATTCTCTGTCAAGTAAACTGATAAATTCTGTAATTGACTTTATGGAAAGCAGCAAGATGGCAGAGCCCAGTGTCCCGTGTCTCCCCTTGTATTCCTCTGCTGCAAGCCTGTGAGCCAATACTCCCTTTCCTGCACCTCACTCCTGGACCTGACTCACTCGCATATTACACTCTGAAAGCAACACACCGATATAAAGTGCAGCCAGATCAGGAACTTTATAAAAAAGACATTACCTTAATTCATCCTTATTAAATACAATGTATGCAGAGTGCTTTCTGGGTAGTAAACAGTTCCAGCCTAACCAGTCTTTAAAATTTAATACTGAACCATGAGGTAAGTAGGGAGTTTTTAATTTAGTAACAGTTTTGAAAATGCAAAGGAAAAAAAAAAGCTATAGCACCCTTCCTAATAATGTATCATTACAGATACAATAGCAGTCCAAGCTTCATAGAGTGCCGTCATTCCTACATCTTATTTTTAGTCAATGAAATATGAAATGCTTTTCCAGAAGTATTTTGTACATTAACAGATGAGCGACTAAACATGCACATACTTATTTCTATTCCCTGGAATAGAAATACGTGGTAATTGATCACAGTGATAATAAATGTATGGTAATTGAGGTCATACTATGAATTTTAAATCAAAGACACTTGTTTTAAAAAAAAAAAAGAGTTAAGAGGTGTTTGTTTTGCTCTAGGCTCTGAACCATTGCTTTAGTGACTTGGTGTGCTCAAGATCTGCACTGTTACATCCATATGTTTAAACCAAAGGATTTATTTACTGAGAAACACACTAGGTGATCTCTCACAATGCATACAAAAACAGGGGAAAAGCACAATAAAAGAAAAAAAAAAACAAAAAACAGGTACCATGCCAATAAAATGACTTCCACATCCAAGTGTGCACTAGTTGTAGCTGAACCGTACCTTGCCACTTATCCCTCCACAGGTCCACAGTGCCCATGATGGTTAACACAGTTCTTGCCTCTCAGAGCATCCAGCAAGCAGCTCCTGGACTGCCAAATTCTCCTAAATCCGAATCACCTCCTGAAGCCTCCCACACTCGTTGCTCTGCCTTGGCTCTCTTGAGCAAGTGCCCAGATGCTGCAGCAGCAGCAGCGCCTCCATGGTAGCTGTGCCACCTGAAGCCTGCCTTCCCTGGGACCACAGGTGCTGGCAACCAGCAACTGAGACAGGCTTATTTCCCTCCTTTCATCAAGGTATTTCAGGTAACTGCATAAAACCACAGCAAATTGCAGCTGGTGCCTGGGGTGAAGCAGGGTTTTCCACTCCAGAAGCAGCCTACCTGTTTTCAGATGAAGTGGCCACAGAGCCATTTCCCTGCATGACACACGCTTACTCTCTCTCCTTAAAGCAGCTCCAAGCAGCCACTGAAGCTTATTTTCAGTGGACAGCATCATGGCACAGGCACAAACCTGGGAGCTGTCTGGAAGAAGACTACCAGGGAGCCCATCCCTAACCATGACTGACAAATGTGCCTTTAAAAAAAATTAATAATAATAACAAAGGAAAAAAAAAAAGAGAAAAACATCAAAGCCTTCCATAAACTCGCCCTGCGCTGGAAGGGTGGCAATTATGCCATTCTCAACTCTGAGGCTATTTGCAAGGGAAAGGATCAGGAGACTTGGGAAGGGTGCTCGGGTGGCTGAGGTTTATCTTTCTCCGTTCAGAGAAAAGGATTACAGGCATAAAACTGTCTGTCACCTTGGAGAAGCTGGAGTCTTGAGATTTTCCTGTGAAGCCCTGGGGATGCCGGGAAGGAAGCCACTTTGTTCAGATTAAAGAGAGAGGCAGCTTCCTGAGCAAGGCCATCATCTCAAATTAGAGGATATTGTAAGACATTTGTCTCTGCGGCACTAGCCCTGTACTAACTAGGTGCAAACGAGATGAGAATCAGGGTAAATGTGTATTAAAAATACCACCTGGTTACCTCCAGTTATTCCTATTCCTCTAATTTACATTTCCCTGGATGTTTCACACTGCATTAGTGATTCACAACAACGACGTACGTTTACAGAGAGCAGGGGAAAAATTAATGAATTCCATCACTTCCCTTGTTTGGGAGACTTTAAGCCTGAGATAGAGCTCCCTCGTTTTATTATGCCTTTTGATCTCCACAGAGTAATCTGTTTTCCCCTTGGCAGAGCTGTTTAATTCTTGCTAATTTAATATGAATTACATTGATGCACTTCGGGCAGAATGAGCTTAATTATTTGTTATTTCTCACACCCTCCCTTAAAAGTAGGCCACATTCCACCTACCTGTCCCCCGCAGGCAGGCATGCACATACCATGATGTTTCGCATGAAGTGCTGAGGTAGTGTATGGCACACACACATGCAGCAACTAAACAAGAGGTTTGAGGCAGCGAAACGGGGAGGAAAAGCTTCCTAGCCTTTTCTCCCTCCTGAGACACTGCTTATTGCATCACACAGCCTGTGCTAGGCAGGAAATCCTGTAAATAAATAATTATGGCTTTTGTCAGGTATGTCATAGTCCCATAGGCCCCGCTTGGAGCGCTGTCGTAAAAAAAGTGGCAAATTCCTGTGGCTATGTCTTTCTCCAAGATACCACCAGTAGCTCCAAACGATTTCTGAAAAGACACACACAGAAAAAGAAGTAGGGAACGTTAGGCATTTATGCTTATGTATTGGGGAAAAAAGAAGGAAAGGCCTCATGATGATTTTACATTCGTGCTGAAGGCACAGCTCCGTTCCCTCATTAAAACCCTTACTGGGATTGTTACAGGATACACACGACTTAGCTGGATCAGCCTAAGTAAACAAGGAACATCTAGCTTCACAAATCTTGTCCTTTTTTTAAATACTTAAATATTGATAATTCTAATGCTTCACACTCTGCTTTCACAATACTCTTCTATAATTAGGTAGAGCTAAAAGCAGCTAACCTGGACGTGAACTTGTTCTCTGCCTTACTGTCTGGCACGTACACAGCGTTGTCTCCGAGCTGTTCTGTTTCTGGCAGCTGTACCTGCACAGCTTTTCTTGACTTTCTGCTGATGGAGGACTGAATGCTTCTCCTCAGAGTGGCTCGTGCAGTGCTTTGGTAAAGCGAAAGTTCTCTTCCATCTGCCCACTTATTTCAGAGCTTGTTAGCAGCTATGATTTTATCCCCACTAAATCTCCCACAATTCTTAAATTAGTTTTCCAAATATACTTCCAGAAGATACTGAGGCGATTTGGTTTTCCTTCGTAGGGGCATAAGGAAAAAATCGTATTCTCCACACACCAAAGAAGGAATAGAGGAGTAGATTTCAAACGTGAAGGCTGCCCCTTGGACTCACTCACCAGTTCCTGCAGAAAGAGGTCGTTGGCCATGTGCACTATTCGATCCACGTGGATGATTCCCCCGATGCTGTTCACCTCCACGTCAGACAGGAACGTAAGGACAAGAATCGCTTCCACCAGGAGCTGCCGGTACTCGGGCTGTGGTACGTGGTTCAGCACCGACTCCACGTGCACAGCAAACTTGATTTCGCAGGGGGTCATCTGGTGAGTGAGAGTGGAAATGGAAATTAAAAACCCACAGATCCAAAAGACTAGCTCCACACACATCCCCCAGGCACTTAAACACATGCTCCTCTCCTCACGTGGGGGCAGCCCGACTGAGGTGAACAAGATGTTTTTATGGCTTTAGCACTGACAGAAACTTTTTGTGTCGCTAGGCCCTGATCCTGCACGCAGTTATGCAACTTCCAGAGAACTGCTCCAGCCCTGCAACCCATCACACACACACTTCACTTGCACACAGGACTGCGGATACTCAGCTTGCAAACTAATTCTCTGCTTCTAATGTGCCAGTCTCGGACATTTTGCCTTCCGAGTACCCTTCTGGCACTGCAGGTTAGTCGCAAAACCAAAATGACTGTGGAGATTTAAAAATAGCCACCTGCTTAGCGTGAATGCGCTTTCACACAGGCGAATACCTACATTGTTTGTAGAGCAGCCTAATTCTCGCTGGCAGAGCTGTATGGATGTCATGTGAAATGCTGACACCCTAGGAGGTTTGTGCTCATTTAGTTTGATTCCTTTAAACAGCAAAATTAGATACTGTCTAGGTCTGACAGGCTAAAAATATAAGCTTATTTATCTACACAATAGGAATAAATAAAGCTCTCCATTCTGCAAAAGAAGGTTTAAATTTGGCAGAAAATTCCAGCTCTTCTCTTCAGCTGTTACCACCAGAAAAGGAGGAAGCCAGAGACAAATTGGGTGCAACCTGACATGAAAAAAGTCTCAGGCATGCAAGTATCTCTCTTCTGCTGAGAGATCTCTGTTTGCAAGAGTTGTTTGTTTCATATTTGTGAACTTAAAACTTGCCAGAGTGCCTAAAGGCAGAGCAGCAATCCAACTGAGGAAAAAAAAAAACTATAAAGAAAGGTTAAGATTATGGATTTAAAGAGTGAAAGCTTTGGTGAGAAACCATCATCCTCAACTGGTGTTTACTCTTGAGGCTGTGATGCCAAAATACATTGGCTGCAGTGGCAGCATTTGAAAAAAATGGGGGTGGGGAATAAGCAATGTGTCTACTTTATTCCAACAAAGCTGAGGTTTTTTGTTACTCCGCCTGAATGACTGTAACCAGCCACCCCCTTTTCAGGCAGTGCTCTGTGTGAGCAATACACTACTGCCATAGAATCACAGAATCACAGAATTTCTAGGTTGGAAGAGACCTCAAGATCATCAAGTCCAACCTCTGACCTAACACTAACAGTCCCCACTAAACCATATCCCTAAGCTCTACATCTAAACGTCTTTTAAAGACTTCCAGGGATGGTGACTCCACCACTTCCCTGGGCAGCCCGTTCCAATGCCTCACAACCCTCTCAGTAAAGAAGTTATTCCTAATATCCAACCTAAAACTCCCCTGGCGCAACTTAAGCCCATTCCCCCTCGTCCTGTCACCAGGCACGTGGGAGAACAGGCCAACCCCCCCCTCGCTACAGCCTCCTTTAAGGTATCTGTAGAGAGCAATAAGGTCGCCCCTGAGCCTCCTCTTCTCCAGGCTGAACAATCCCAGCTCCCTCAGCCGCTCCTCGTAGGACTTGTTCTCCAGGCCCCTCACCAGCTTTGTCGCCCTTCTCTGGACCCGCTCAAGAACCTCGATGTCCTCCTTGTAGCGAGGGGCCCAAAACTGAACACAGTACTCGAGGTGCGGCCTCACCAGAGCCAAGTAAAGCCATGAAGGCATGCAGACAGCGGGCACAGCGAAGGGGCAAACCTACCTCAAAACCCACCCGCTCCCAGGCCTGGCTGGCAGAAAAACTCATCTGCACAGCCCCAGTGAAGCTGGCAGGGGTGCTGGAGGGAAGATCCAGACCTCATCTCCCTCCTGGAGTAGCAGCCACTTCTGTTTTTAAAAAAGGTCCTGCAGCATTGGCCCTGCTCTGCATCTTATGCTGTGATACCCAATGTTCAGTCATGTGGCTAGAAAATCCTCAGTGTTTTACTGTACCTCTCTGGTGGTTGAAGAAGGAAGGACGTACCCATCAATGGACAAACCGTGGCACTGAAACAAGAAACATTTCCACAATGAACAGAAATCATAGTTCTTGCAACTAAGTCTGAGTGAATTCTGATCCAAGCCTGTATGTAAAAATTTTAAGCTAAACAAACAAAAACACCAAGAAAACACCACCAAATCTACCACAAAAAAAAAAAAGAAAAGAAAACCTGTTAAAATTTCACCTTTAGTCAAGAGGCTATTATGTAGCCTGCCAAATGTTAAAAATAACCTTATGTGACACCTGCGTGGTGTTCTGTATTCCACTTTAGCTATTGAAGGGGAGGAAAGTACTTAGAGAGCCACTACAGGAAGGGGCAGACAAAGGACAAAGCCAAATCAATGAGAACCTTCTGTGGAAAGGATGTAGAAATAAAAGATAATGCAAAAACACGACAACAAACCATGAAAATGAGAACCTGTATTTCTCATTTTCACTAAAACAACATTTAGTTAAGTGTTGGAAACCCAGGGCACTTCAGCTCAAGCGTGTCAGCATGCTGTGGTGCTCGGAAATGGGCCACAAACACTGGCAGAGAGGTGGTGTTAGAAATACCAAGTGGTATAGAAGAAAAGGGTGAGAGAACCCAAATGGTGAGAAGGCAGGCTATGGAATGACACATCTGGGTACCTGAGGTTATAAGAAATAAAAAATAAAGAAAAAGGGCACATCAAGAAGAGTCCTTTTGTGAACAGTTCATAGTGTAAGAAATATTTAAATAACTTTAAATAAGCATAATTAATTTTAATAGCCAGAAAACCATTAAATACTGCCAGCTACTACAGTAGGTCACGACAGAAGTGATGTTCACTGTTGAACGTATGTTGAACATACTAAAAGATCCCATCAGCAAATCTACTGGCCATATATGACTCATCTTGGCTGATACCAGCTTCAGAGTAACTGATTTTAAGACAACCAAGAGTGCTCTAAGCTGGTGATGCACATCTTTGCAACGGTGTAGGCTTGAACAGCTCAGTTTTGCAAGCTGCCAAATGCTGTCTGTCATCCAGCAAAGGAGAACAGGTTCACCACTTTGGAGTAAAGAGAAATTCTTAATTCCCCTCTTTTCCTTCCCTGAGATCTGTTTCAGTACATTTCCACACCCCTGTTCTCCAAGGTGCTACCAAAACACAATAAACAAAAACCATCAAGAATGGCATGCGGCTCAGAAGAGCCAGCAAGAGATCTCAAGACATTTTAGAAAAGTCTGTGAAGTTTCCAACCTCATTCCCTGCAGCCTTTTTCAGCTGGAGCACGTGAAGTGCACTGCATTACAGTGCCCCTCCGTGGCAGTGACCACAACTTGCATAAGCAATGCAGAACAGTGGTGAAACAGAATTGTTCAGCCAAAATGCATCTCTGGTGTTTTCAGAGAAAAACACACTTTCAAACTAAGATGTGGAATTGCATTAGTGGAGCCTTTATATGTTTGGGAGACACGTTCCTACTAATAACTCCAGTTTCCACTGCTCTTCCAGCTGAAGATCAACTTTAACCAGCAACACAATACCCCTAAACCATCACCTTCCCATGTTCCCACACATATTTTTTGCTTCCTGCCTTCCATAGCTGTCAGCCTACCTTCTGAAGGATCTTCCACACTTTCTCATAGAAGCCAACAGGAACTCTGTTAATGGCACCATCGAGCCTCCTCCTGCGCAGCCACTGCCCTTTGCGGTCCCCCCAGCTGATGTCTCTGTCGGAGCCCGTCGGAGAAGTGCTGGTGGGAGACGGCGGGGTGCTGCCCCTCTGTCAGAAACATTAAGGTTTTTGTTAGTTTCCTTCTAGCACCACAAGTGCTTCTGCTTGTGAACATGTTGTTCTGTTACAACGCTAGCTGAGGACCAGGAAAGAAAACCACAGGCCAGGACCTCACACAAGGTGATGGAGAAGGACTGATCCCTCTCTACCTTCCACAACAAGCTTCACTTCTCCAGCACTTCAGTCGTTTCTCAACGAAATAAGCAAGCAGTTCAACAAGGGATAAATCAGTAAACTTCACTGCTTGTTTCAATACAAGGCATGACTGCTCTGACAAGTACCAGTTGAAGGGCAGGGCAGTGTCACTGCTCCACCAGATGGTGGAATTCACTGGCTGGTCTGATTTGGACTTCAGGCTCAGGGATGTGAGGTCCTCCATGCAAATAGCTCCATTAATGTGTGTTGATTAAAAACTGACTTTGTGTGGTCATTTAATTACCATGCCCACCTCTCCGTAAGTAGCCACCTTGTTTCCTTCACTGTCACTGTTGTTCTATTTTGCTCTACCAGCCTTGGAGACTAAATTAGGCAGCAAATCTTCTTCCAAGTTGTGGCACATTCTCACTGTCACACCCATTACTTTCAGCCCAAAGAGGACTTCACTGACAGCCCGTTCTCAAACCCCATCCTCTCTTAAGTAAGGAACTGCCTAAACAAAGTACTGGGGAAAGTGGGAAATAAGACCAAAAAGTACAAGTTTGCAAAGGAGAGGCTCAGTGACCCCACACAGCCAAGCTCTGCAAAAAGAAAATGAAAACAAAGTCTATTCTCTCTCCTGTTGGTGTCAGTGACAGATGGATGATGTTCCCTTGATGGTCTGATGCACCCTATTCCTTTACTTCATGCTGACTCAGATAGTCAGAATCTCCTCCACGCTGTTTAGCAGAGCAAGGGGATGCAGGAGGGTCAGTGCCAAAGCAGAGAAATCCATCTGCACGCAGTAATTACTCTGGCTACTCAGGTGGTTCAGACAGGCAAGTTCTCACTGAACACTTCCATGCATGTGAGTCAAACAGGCTTCAGTTCTACACTGGGATGTGGGACAAGTGAGGCAGCAGCAATCTGGCAGTTGTCAGGCCTGGCCATGGGGCCAGGGGAACGTGCACCTGGGGGTGCTCTGTAATGGTGTATTTAGGGCACCTGAGTGGTGTGCCAGTGACAGCAAGTCTCCAGGCACAGAGATCCTCTCATCACAGCTGCCAGTTCAAGGTGCAGGCGTAGCTGCAAGCCTTCTGTCTCCTGATGACAGATTCGGAGCCTCAGACTTTAAACTGCTGAGGTTTCTGCTGGTAAAATATTTAAACAATTATCTCTTTTCTTAACAGCGAGAGCTGAAGAAGGGCTACAATTCTCTGCCTCGAAAGAACGTGACAGCCTGAGGAGACACCCAGGCCTGTAAAACCCCTGCCTCAGCAATCTGGTTTCATTACTGGCCAGAAACTGCCAGCAAAAATGGTACATTACTGTTAAATACTGATGACACCTGTAATATAATCAAGTAACTAAATCTGCAACAGTGCTTTATCTGCTACGACTACTTAACCTTCAGAAGAACTAAGTGGATCTAAATGAGACTATTAACAGATTACTGATGAGAACGGGCTCCCAGTGAAGATGAGCTAAACGAAGAGGTAGGGTTTTACAACAAGCTTTCACACAGAAGCAGCTGCAGGTGTTCAGAGCCAAGGTTCCTGCACACGCATACACACAGAGCTGCAGGTGGTGTTTTACCGTGGAAGCGAACATGCTGCTTGACATGGAGTGGCTCTCATGAAAGAACTACAAAACAAAAACAGACACCAGCAGGTCAGACAGACAGCCACGACACAACAGGACGCAAACAAGGTTAAGTAACCCATCTGTGCAAAGACGAGGAGCAGGGAATAAGCTCAGGTACTCAGGGGAAAACCATGGCAGGCTCTAGCCTCCTGCAGCGCCGCACCTCAGCTGACTTTGGGACAGCCACGTCTGATGGCCAGGGTCACCACGGCATGGCAAACACCAACCACCACAGCTAAGGAGCATGCTGATGTTTTTCTGCAATTCAGGGTCAGAAAACAAAACACAAAACAAAACAAAAGAACCCAAGCTCCCCACTACCATTCTCCACTCGTTATGTCAGTTTCTCTTTGCAGCGTGAGGCCATCGTGCTGCAGAAAGCCTGCAGGATGCCAGCGGGGTCAGCAGTGTTGAGCAGTGAGCTGCAAAGCAGAGCTTTCACAGGAACATGGATGCACCCCTTTCCACACTGAGCACTTTCCTGTAGCTGTCCCCTCCCAAGCCATGCCCTTTAATTAGTGTTAATGGTTCAGACCTAGGCGAAGTCTTGGTTTTCAGACTCTAGAGACATCAGCAGTAAACAAGAACAAGCTGCAGCTGCTCAGCACACAAGCTCTGGTGTAAAGCAATGTTGGTGTAAGTATTAGAAGTGTCCTTCCTGACACAAAGCTGATTGTCCTCACCCCCAACCCAGCATGACCTAAAATTGGTATTTGGCAAATTATGTAGAGAGTGCAGTGAGATCAGGCAGGAAGCACCATGAATGGACGGGTGGGGGGAATAAAAAAGTAAGAACAGCCAACTCTCCTCATCTGTGCAAAAAATGTTTCCATCTAATGCAAAAACAGTGCAAGGAAATACCTTTTCAGCCTTAAACTGCACAGGGATTCAGCTCAGGCCTGCCTGTGTATTTAAAATAAAATAATGCTGCCGCCTAGTGCCCAGTGTCCCTTCCTTCTGGGAAAGGCTCTGAAGTCAGGCATCCACAGTCGGCTGTAAGACCAACAGCCATGCTCAAACTGAGTTACTAAGGCCACTTCGGAGCCTGCACTAAGCACTCAGCAGCGTTTTCACAGACACAGCTGTACCAATGGAGGGGACAAGGCAACAGTAACACTAAGGCACCAGCACGGCTCAAACACCGCGACCAGATCTCATGAGACACAAACCACACGTTTTGCAGGCACCCTCACTTCCCTGATTGACTGTATAACAAAGAGAATTATTAACTTACCCTTATGTCAGCATCAAATGCCTTATGTCAAGCTCATACAGAAATTCCACTCCTCTCCAGTAGCTTAACAAGCAAACTTGTTTCATACAATCAAGGTGAACACAACACACTTTCTTAGAAACTTAGAGATGGCCTCACAGTAAATGCAAGACTTGCTTATTAAGCTCTCAGCAGAGAGGGTGATTTTGAAACGTTTCTAATATAAAATACTTCATTCTCATATATGCCTTTTATCTGGTCATGACTTTGCCTTAGATGCCACGAATGCATTAGTGCTTGCTCAACTTCTATATGCATCATGTGAAAAAGAACAAAAAAGGAACTACAGTTTGGGAGGAAACGTCCCCTTCATGCTTTCTATCAGCTTTAAAACAAAGGATGTTTGGAAACTTCTGTGATTTACCATTAACTTAATCAGCACTAAAAACAGTCTCCCAAAATGCATACACAAAAATCTGACCTAACACAGCTCCAGAGTACCTGCATTTTCTGATGAGCATTGACGGAAAACCCTCACCTGCTTCATCTCGCTCTTCAGTTTAGTAATACCACTTCTTCCTGTTTTGGTTGCTCCAGAATGCCCCATCTCATGAATAGAAATTGCAGGGCTAGATGAAGAGGAATCCATAGGTCGCACTAGAAGAGGCAAATGGACATTTTAAAAATTATATAGGTAGGAAAACATACGAAGTTGTATCTAGAGGTGGCAGATAAAAGCATGTCCTTTCATAAGCACGCAATGCTCTTTTTGACAGCATCCTTTCAAATCACATCAATAGTTCAAGCCTGATTGCATCAAGCCAGGTGGTAGACCCACAGCTGGATATTGGGGCCTGATCTTCCAAGACACTGAACAATCACAGCATCAAATGACATTGGAGTCACAATGAGTCTGTGAGGGCTTAAGAACAAACCCGGGAACCAGCAGAAGGGCCAGCTGGGAACTCAGGGCATCAGACATACTCCTTGAAGGCAGGCTGGATATGCCCTTTTATGGTCTTCACTCAAAATTTCTTCATTTTAAAAGTTTGCCTGATACAATCTTGAGGCAAGTGCAGGATAGTTTCCATCATGTGTGTGTTTGTTTTTTTTATCCCTCATCAGCTAACATACACAAGTATGTTTAATACATTACCAGTACTTCTGTTTTACATGCACTGAGAGTATAACCTTGCTTATACGATGATCTAACTCTATATTTACAGCACTCACTTAACATACGGACAACTTACAGCTTCTTTCCACACCAAACTCTTTTCCACTGAGAATATGATGTAGGAGATTTTTCATATCAAAGGGGCTTAGATTCATCAAACTCTCTGAAGCTTCTTCACCTAGTTTAAAAACAACCATCAACAAACATTACTATAAGCTGATTTACAAATCGTTTTCCTAACTGAACTGCTGGCTGAATGGGGTCCCCACCACATTTATTTTTGTAGCTAATGCTTCCTTTACAAAGAAAATTAATATGTTGTCATTTCAAAGAAAATAAATTTCAAGACTAAACAACAAACACTGCATGGAGATGACTCTATTTGCATTACTGAACAGCCTGTGCAGGTTATGTGAAATCTCACTGAAGCTTATGATGAGAAAGCAGTTGCTCCTTCACAGAGCAAGATTGCTTGAAAAATCACTACAGCCATCTCCCCAAAGCAGATCACATAGATCTAAATTACAGAGCTAGAGTTGTTCCATAAAGAACAGCATGCAAATGGAAGGCTTGTGTTTTATTTGATTAAAGGATCGTGCTTGTAAGTGAGAGAGAAAAAGCACATACATACACATGAGCGCACATGTGCACACAGACAAGTCTCTCACAGGGGAGCATGGAAAAGGCAGCAATGAAGCTGAGAGCAATGTACAAAGAAATAACTAAAGGAGCACTGGAAAAAGAGGCATTGAGCAGTGAATGCAGCAGCTTCTGGTACTCAGCTTCAGCTTTGGGGGAAATAGGGTTTTCTGTGTACTCCTCATAGAGAAACAGGGTTATGCCAAAAAATCTCTTAGCTACATTTATCAACTTCTCCTAAGAGACAAACCTGCCACTTCCTCAAAGGCAGGTATCCACCTGATTTTCATAGAAACATAGAATCATTTAGGTTGGAAAAGGCCTCTAAGATCATCTGGTCCAACCTGTTGTCAAAGGGAGCAGCAGTGTCCAAAGTGGGCACCCTTTAAAATACGACTCATGAAGTTCTCCCCTTTGAGGTGTATGAGTACATTAGAAACAGTGATGAGCTAAGCCAGAAAAATATGGTCCAGATCATGCCCCTAAACGTCAGCATTTGACACTACATATTCATCACATTAACTTGATCACTTCTGATGATGGTTTCTTCTTGCCTTTTGACCCCTTTAAACTCCTCTGATGTGGAAAAATCTTCAATGTTTTTTTCAGGTATCACATTAGTTGTTCTTTGTTCAGAAGATAACCAGGATCCTAATCCTTGTTGAAATTAACAGCATTGGATCCCTAAATACACATGCATACAATTTGATGATCAGCACCTCAAACACATACTGGAAGTCAGAGGGCTTAAGTACTTACTATCTACTCCATATTGACAACGTAGGGGGAAAGGAAAGGCAGGAATCTTTAATTAAGTCAAAAAGGGAAGTTATTTTCAAAGTTATTAATTGTATATGTTGAATGAAGAATTTAACACATAAATGAAAAAATGACGACTAAGGTGAAGCAGAAATAATGCCACAAGTATCTCCCATGATAAAATTACACTTACCAGAGCATTTCAGACTCCGAGCCAGCTCAGTGGCCATCACCTGAATTATCAGACCGATGCGGAGCCTGAGCATCTCCATGAAAAGACTAGGCTGTGACCGAACGTACATTGCCAAGTACATAATTATTTCCTGTAAGGACAAATCCATAAAGGCAGCTATTCAAAGTGGGTCCTCTTAGCTTTCCCAGTCACAGCAGAACACTGGCATCGCACTGGGCACAGCTTAAAGAACTTTTTTTCCCCATGCTACTTACCTGTGTCAGGACAGCAATACTGATGTCTTGGCCACTGGCTTCGTAAATAAGATCTGTGAGCTCCTCAGGTGGCAGGGGGCTGCAAGAAGGCAAACCACAGTTAGCAGTCAACTCAGGCTCCTGCTGTTGACTTTGTGAACGTGCTCCGGAAGCAAGTCACCCAGAAACATCTTTGCACTACAGGCTTTTCTGTCTTGGTGGCTGCAATCCTTTCTGAAGTTGAGAAGTAACTTTTAAAACAAGATGATAGCAGCAGAATGGTACCAGCAAGATGCAGAAAGGCAGGCTGCTTCTACTGAGACTGAGCTCCAACTTACTTGGTAATGATTTTCTCACGGGGTTCCGGTGGCAGGCCCACAGTAAGTTGCTTGTGGTGTGACAGGAGGTCTGTGCACGCCTATCATGATGTGACAGGAAACAAGAGACCTTTCTCTGAGTCATGCAAAAGTGATACAGCTTTTAATTCCAGAAAATGAATTGTTTCTTTAGCAATTTTAGGTGCATTTCTATTAACTACCAGATGTGCAGATCCAGCAGAATGCTGTTAACCACTTGCCAAAGATCCCCTGATGTCAGCAGGGCTATGAGACTGCGTAGGCTGAAAGCCTGCTTGCTCACACTGAAATCAGCAGCATAAAGATTATGTACTCCAGTGGGGCTGGAAGATCAGTAAAGGACTTAGAAGATAAACATTTGATTTTTATTTAAGACCCAAAAAATACATTAACGGAAAGCTTGGCAATATTAGCTATATATATATTATATAATATTTATATATAGCTAATACATGTATATATCTATATACATGTATATCCTGTATACTAGTATCTCTCTTTAAAACAAAATAAATTAAAACAAAAAATTACATCACATTTCCAAATTGCGCACCCTGAAATAGATGCTTCCTCCAGTACCAGTGTTTTACTCTTTTATGTGTACTTCCTACAAAAGTAGGTTTTTAATTTTTAGCATCCTGAAACAAACAGCTCACTGACCTGTGTTCTTCTGATTTCCTTAAGTCTGTTTTCCTTCCCTCACCGTGGAACAAAATCACTACTACAAATCACCTCTACTCTCATCCTCCACAGTTCTTCACCAACATCTTTGAAAATTATCATACATAGTTTTCTGTGAGCATGTCTGTACTGCTCATCCTTCATGTCTTGAGGATAGAAAAGGTACCTAATGAAGTACCACGCAGGGTGACTATCACAAATTGCTCCCTGGTATAGGTATGGCTATCAGAGCTTTGAAAATGGACAGGAATTAGAGAAAGAGTTAATTGGAAATAACAGCGTTACATACAAATTGCTGTACTTAAAACAGCAGAGAGGAAATGTTTTTGTAATGGTCAAAATGAAATCTGCGCCCTTAAAATGGATCTTCCTTGCTAATCTTAAGTATTCCCAAATATCCTAGTGCCTCTGTACACCTGCAGCCACTCGCACTACAGACTGCCTGCCCAACGGGACAGGAATTACCAGATCATGTTTTTGCATAATCTCTAGCACCATAACACACTGGTGCTCCAAAAGTGTTTATGCTACGACAACAGCAACAAGCGATTGCCAGCGACCACTACAACTTTCAAAGCACGTAGTTAAGCTTCTCAGATAAGCAGAGATTAAACGAAGCCTTCGCAATCATTTGCAGTTTGACAACCTCAATCCATTCCAACACTAGCACAGTTCTCAGTATGGATGAAAGGTAAAGATGCTGCAGTAAGATTTTAGATCAGAAAAACAACAACTTTTACTGAAAAATACTGCACTAGGTATGTTGTAAAGACCTAGAAGAAGGCAAGCACAAGCCCCACAGGCACTTTTGCTTCATATTGGTAGCCTTATCTCCCTTTCCAGGCAGGAAACTGAACCAGCACTGTTTATATTTCATACCTCTGCCAGGACTTCCACTCTCTTTTTAAGTATACCAGAAATATAACGGATTAACCCCCACTCCTGATTGAGGCCTGCCTTTCTGTAGAGCTCGTTGAGCAGGCAATGAACAGTGACCCCATATTGTCCGTTCAGCTCCGTATCCCAGTCAGGGCCTCTGCCGGAAAACAGAAGGTAATTTTCATTAGACAAAACAAGCAGATTTCTAAGGGCTCTCCTATGAAGGACAGAGAGAGGAAACAGGAAACTAACAGTACTACATCGCTTCATCTTACCACACAACAAGCAGCCTGATTTTGATTGAATTGCTCATTTTGGTGACAGATTTAAGTACACGGGACATGGGGGCCCTTCACCAGAGATCAGGAGACCTTTTGTGACAGCAACTCTCATATTAGCTAGAACACTTAGCCGTAAGACCGTGACTTCAAAGCAACCACCCAAAGGATTTCCCATCAGACTTCAAACTGAGCATGCATGCAGGTAGTTTGCTAAAGGAACACTCCATAGGTTGTTCCTCAGGAGCAAAATTCATCACTTTCTTCAGTACTGCTGAAGACTGCACCCATTTTTTCACACGCTTCAGGGACCTCTGAGTTTTTGTGCCCTGCCTCTTTCTTATCTACTAATTAGATTTCCACGCTGATAAATCAAAGGAGATTTCTGGTCCTCTCCTGGTTTTGAAATTCACTGCATTATGGAAAAAAAGGCACTTCTTGTTGACAATGTTTTGAAGCACCACAGAATGACCTTTCAGCTCCTGTTAGAGGGACAGAGTTCACCAGAGTCCAAGAGAGATATCAGTGTTTAAACAAATCTAGAACAGGAAATTAAATGTCTTTTACGTAGTTAAACAACAACAACAAAAAAAGGTAGTTTTTCAGGATCTCCTTTAATCTTCAAGAGAGGCTACTAAACATTTTGCTTAGGAAAACAAGATCAAAGAAGAGACCCTCACAGGAGAAAGACTAAAATAAACGAAAACGCAATCTCCGTAACACTATGGAAGACCATCTGTGATCAATAAATGCATGTCTTTGCACCCTTAAGCTATTTTTCTGCCAGATTCTAGCTGTATTCTCCTGCACAGAGAAAAGAAAAATCCCAGTAAGAATATGACTCTGTTGGTCTGTATTTGCATTTTGTTCTCATCAAACCTATTTAATGAGCAGCTGTTTACTAACCCTAGTAGCTCGGGTTAAACTGTTCCCAGAAACACTTTGAAGAGCACTGAGTTTTAGCCAATGATGTACTTAAGCATGCAAGGATTAGAGGAAAAAATAGCGACTACTCATTAAAGCTGCATCTGTGCTTTAGTTAGAGAATGACAAGATTAAGTATCCCTCCACTTCCGTCCTTGTGTATAAAAACCACACCAAAGCTTTGAGAACTTAATTAAGTGCCACAAATACAGCAAGGGGTGTTCTTATTCATGTAAAGGATTTATACATTTCACTGGAGTGCTTAAGAGCCTGTATGTATGCACAATTGCGTGCCAATCAGCCTTGAAATTTGCACAAGCATTTTTTTTATTTATGCAAATTATTTATGTAGTCAAGATAACTGAAAATATTCCCGTTAAAGCAAGAAGTATTTTAACCTGTCCCCTCCAAACACTACCCTGAACACTGGCAAGCTCTTGCACAAGAAAAATCAAATACTGGGGCCTTGGCCAACCTGATCTAGTGGGTGGTATCTCTGCCCATGGCAGGGGGGTTGGAACTTAAAGAGATCTTTAAGAGATCTCTTCTAAGCCAAGCCATTCTATAATTCTATGAAATAGCTGCAACCAAACTTAAAGAAGCTGAAGTTTATATTTGGATAACTCACTTGACTATATGCAAGAGGTATAAAATATCTGCTTGATCATGAAGTGTTGGGCATTCGTTCAGATGCTCAACAAGTTTCCTGCAATCCAAATCACCGTGAGCATCTTTAGGTAGGTTCAAAACATTTTCAGAGTCCTAATAACAAAGAGGGTTGAAAATTGAGTAAGTATTGAAAAAAAAGAGGAGATCAAATTCAAACTGTAGTTTTCCATTATAGAACACAACAAACATGCAACATAACTCTGCACTTGGACTATAGATATATCATGTAGTTCCTGTCACATTACTTCAGGCATGAAAAGGAGGCTGATCCCCAGAAACACAACACCCAGAATGGAACTTTTGTCTCTAGTTTTGGTTGACTTAACAAGAAAAGTTATTTTTTGAAAAAACAAAACAAACAAATACTTCATAAAATAAAGAAACAAAATTATTTGCATGCTTTTCCTGTCTTGTCATACACTGCTACTTGCAAAGACACAGAAGCAGAATGGTACTACTTTTATTTTTGGTTGAAATCATTTAAAGTTCTGTCTCTAATCAGTATATACGTGGTGCTTTAGGAATGCAGATGTTGCCATCATAAGTTTTCCAAGCTTTTGAAGCTAGCATGTTAACTAGTCAGATGATGCAATACAGCACTGAGTTCTCAGATGAAGAGAAGTTTCATTTAACAAGCTATCAGCAGTATGTATGGTCCTAAAATACCACTTCCACAGACACAGCCTCTAGAGCAGAATCCTCCAGCAGGCTGGATACAACCTCACGTAACTGCTTCCAGCAGCTGCTCACATACTAGGAGAGAACAAATGCCCAGCACAAACCCATCCTTCATGGCTTCCAGTGGTATTTAACTGGTGCCTTAGGACATCAGGGGTTGGAATTAGATGATCTTTAAGGCCCCTTCCAACCCAAACCATTCTATGATTCTACGATCTGTCCTTTCACATACTATCCTCCTGAACAGAAATTACTATAAACACCATTTCTTGAAGAATATTTCTAAAGGTTATGAATATCCTATTTTTCCGTTTGTGAATTCAACTAGGACCAAAGATGATGATATAAGCCTTGGCCCTTAAAAACAAGCACCTATTATATTACTTTTCTTTACACACCCTATTAAAAAATTCCATGTGATAATGTCTGTTTAACAAAAAACAAAAACAATCAAATAAAAAACTCCCAGCAAAAACACCACCACCACAAAACAAACAAGCAAACCAACAAACTGATGGAATTAACTTTCCATCACCCCAGACAGAATGGGTTGCCTGTGAAGTTAACAAAAATGACAACCAGCATATAACTTGGCTAGTAATGACAGAGAAGGTCATAATATTAAGTGTTAAAAACACAAACAGCATAAAAAATCCCACAGTTTACCTTTCTGTCAAAGGAAAGGGGAGTATCAACAAGATTCAGAGACTTCCGGTGCGTGTTCAGAACTTTAGTCGGAAGAGACATGGAAACAGCTGGAAAGAAAAGCCAGTGACAACAACAACAACTGAAAATCACCCATTTCAGTAACGCAAAAAGTAAAAACACCTACATAAAGCAATTGTAGCAGGTAAAAACAACAGAAACAAAAGAAGCTTGAAGGTTTATTAATATACACTAAAGTTAAGGGAAGCCTTGCCTTAACCCTGGTTAGGGTAAGGCTGCCCTTAACCTGGACATTGGACACTACATACCTACATGTAAAACACTGTGTGCTGGAATCCACTTACAAATTCAGTCAAGGAATTATTTGGGTGAGAGTCCTCTCATCAGTCTAACAGTAATGTAACATTATTAGGAATACTGTTTTCCCTCTCTACACTATATGTTCTTAGAAATTTAGGAGAGTACTTTTGTTTTCTGCCATTTCAGTGAAACATTTCATTTCACCACAGCTTCACTAAAATAAGAACGTGCATTTTGTCTGCCTTTGTACAATGACAAAAAAAATACATAAGAGAATTCACTGACTCAGGTTCTAAAATTCTATCCAATCAACTCGTTTTCATAACATTAAATTTGATTCACTGCAAGTTATTTATCCACACGCTGTGACATGGGATACCATGGGAACACTACAGAGCAACAAATTCAGACTCATTTTTATTTCTTGATAACTACAACACACTTGAGTCACTAGCTTTTTTCAAATAGCAGAGTTTGGAAATACTTGAGTTTACCCCTTTTAGCACCCAAAACCAATACTAGGGAGAAATACCTGGAATCTCCAAACCCTTTGCCTTGGCCATTATTGACAGTATCTCTTGAGTGGAATGGTTTGCACTGAACCTGGGTGGTTGATTAGCAGTCTTGGAAGTTGGAGGCAGGTATGACTTCAGTGCTGTACTCTGCAGGATATCATTTATATACTGATCCAGCTCATCCTGGCTTTCTAGTGAGAAATACATAAAAGAAAAGGAGCATTAAATATAAGAAAACATATAAATTATCTGCACTTTCTTTTTCATTACACACCGTTCTGTTCCTGTTTATATAGAAAGGCATGCAAAAATGTAAGAATATCATAAGCAAGAGACTCTTAAGCTGAAAAAAAATGGAAAGAAAATAAAAACTAAACAGTTTTTGATACTTCTTAAACAGTTAAATTTAGAAATTGTTTTTCCCTTTGAAAAGGATCAAAACGTTTTTTCTCTTGCTGGTAGTCTAAAGACCAGCTCTTCCATACAAACTTGTATGATTCCTCACACTCTCTACCTTCCTCTAGCATCTTTCACACAAACCCAAACTGCTGATTCCTCAGACTCAGTTTTCCCACAGCAATTACCGGTCAATGCCACACCAAGAATGTGGGAAGAATATATACAAACTCCTTCTCCAAACTAAGTCATGCTTGTACTGTTCTCAGGCTGAAGCACGAGAAACCTGAGTGACTATCAACTGTGCACAAATTAGATTCTGCATAGTAAGGCAAAACCAGGCTCTAACTGACAGAATTTTACAGAGAAAAAAAAAAAGAGAGAAAACTACTACCTTTCTCACAGAAATCTGCTGGATAGCCTCCATATTCACTGTCAGGGCTACAACAGCCTTCGTTAGGGTCATCAAACAGTTTTACATCACAGTCTGGATCCAGAAAGCTCAGATGCGTATGAAAGGAGGTGGTAAGAAATTCTGATAGCTTGCCTATCTTCACCCTGCAAACAGGAAAGCATGCCAGAGGGAGCAAACATACATCATTTTGATACTGGTTAATGCTCACTGAGCTTTCAACAACTCCAAAATCTATAAGGCTTAGCTGTCAAGTCCACCTTTGGTAACTATGAAGCCCTGGGGAACGTAAACTAGTGACCAGAGGTAGCTCCATTCACTATGGCCCTTTGAGCTCTGCCACTGATCCAGTTCATCACTTAGTGTAGCATGAACCTGTTCACCTCACAACTGCGGAATTTGTCCAAAAGGATACTGTGAGGGACAGTACCAGAAGTCTTGCTAAAATGCAGAAAAACTACATCCACTATCTTCCCTTCATCCACTAAACAGATGATCTGATTGTAGAAGGATATGGAGTTAGCAAGACAGGACTTTCACTTTGTGAACCCATGCTGGCTGGGCCCGATGATGGTGTTATCATGTCACTGCCTTTCTTTGGCACCCAGCATGATCTTCTCCCTAAGTTTTCCAGGTACTGAAGTTAAACTATATAGGTCTATGATTTCCAGGGTCTTCTCTCATGCCATTCTTGTAAATTGGGATGTTGGCTACTTTTCAGTCAGCGGGGACCTCCCCAGGTTCCCAAGACCTTCTGTAGGTAACTGAGAGGGGTCCTGCTATAACATGGGAGAGGTGTTGGAACTAGATGATCTTTGAGGTCCCTTCCAACCGAAGCCATTCTATGATTCTATGAACATCCACTAACTCCCTCAGTACTCTGGGATGAATCTCATCAGGCCCAACAGACTCATAAACATTCAGCTGATGCAACCAGTTCCTTACAATTTCAGTATTAACAAATGGAAAGTTGCTGCTCCCCCAGCCATGGTCCTCCACTTGAAGACAGGGCAACCCAAGGCCTATTATAAACATTAATACCTTTTTTCACCTCAGTCTTTAAATGCCTCTGCCTTTAATCAACTATTAATGGCAGTGAGAGATGCTGCACGTCTTGGGAAACAGACTTTTCCCCACTGCATTTGAGGTCCATCTACCATCTGACTCCCACATAACCATTAAAGCTGCTCTCTGTCTTGAGTTCCAGCACGAGGTCTATGCGGTATCACAGGTTCAAACCTGAGGCTTGTACATGAGTTAATTAAAAAATTCACAGAGCGAATCATTTGGTGGTTATGGCAGTACCTTGCACCTCCAAAATAACCATCCTCTAATTTTCGTATGGTGGCAAGAACTGCTGGATGAATGTCAGTACCATCATCGACTGAAAAAGAACAATAGAAGAGTGTGAAGCTTACCAACACATTCTTTAATTATCATGGCCAACTAAGTGGATTATTGAGTGTTCTCTACAGAGTAAACTAAATTTAAAACAGAACCCACAAGTGCTATCAATACCAGATTATTCAAAAAAAAAAAAATCAAACAGAATCAAAACAATCCCAAGCCCCTCCACCCATGACAAGTTCCAACAGGCCTTGTACAGAATTCCTTTGGACAGAAATAGAAATAGTATGAAGATGGTGAGGAGGTGCAAGGATATCAGGGAGTAAAAAAAAAAAAAAAGAAAAATATTACACATCATCCAAGTTCAGCATAGACTTGAGAAAGTTAAACTGTACTTTTGATGTTAAAACTCAGATGTTGAAACAGTCATGCCATCTGTCTCTGCTCAAACCTACCCTCATGCTACTCCCCCACAATAATCTATTCTGCTTGCAACCAAGAAAATCAACTTTACCAAGCATCGTGTGGGTGATGGGAAACGTCAGGGTTGGTCTCCCTGTCATTCTCCAACAAGAAGTGAGGTAAGCCAGCTCTGTCTTGAGCATCTCCACAATCATCTGATTGTCTAGAGCCAGATAGAAGTGATGCTGGTCAGTAAACTAGAAAACAGAGAAATATGGTATGTAAGTACTTGTCAGTGCTCTCCTCTATTTTTTCGCAGTGAAAAAAAATATGATTTTTTTTGGTTGAATTAACCAAACAAGGCATGCTGTTGGGAAAAAAAAAAAGACCCATGCTTGTGCAGAATATGCATTTTCTTACACTTCTAGGCTGACAGTGAAAAAAGGAAGCTATACAAATAAAAAGTAGATGATGACCCCCTTGAAGTAGAATTCTCCCAGTGATGAGTTACAGTAACCTATGATCTGAAAGATCAAAGTAGCATAAATGTGGGAGAAAATACAACAGCAGCAATACAAACAATAAACAGGCTTAAGTGCATGCTGGGGACTGGAAACTAGTAACCATATAAGCTCTTGGGAACAATCTAAAACATGAGCACAATAGGAACAGCTGACAGTTACTGTGGAAAAAAAAAAAAGTGTATTAAATGTACAGTGGTAAAGGATGGTGTTCTCTCTGTAAAGGAAGGCCAAGAACCGCAGTAAGTGACTATTACGGCTAGACCTTAAACTGGAAAAAACATGAAAAGTATGTCAAATCAGCCACAACAAAAGTTAAAAGCACACCAGCATTAGGGAGGGGTTGAAAAGGGAAAAGGCTGGGACGTAAAATAAACATCAATTAGTAAGACACATAATGGACAAGGAGAAAACTTTCTGTAAACACATCAAAGGTAATAGGAAAACACAGAAACTGTGGACCTGTTAATGAAGAGAGGAAGAGGATAGAAAGAGAGGACACAGACAAGCTGAAGCATTCAGTGCCACCTTTACTGACTGATGACCTGTAGTACTACTTATAAAAGAGAAACAGGAGTTCAGCCTGAGCTTGGGAAGAAAAGGTTAAAGAGCACGTAAATTCAAGCTTGCAAAGACGTTTCTTTAGAAAGGAAGGGCCAGAATAATGTAGACCAGACAACCCCATTTCAGTGCCTGAAGTCAATTTGAGAGTGCCAAGAGAATTACAAAATGGTAAAGACAAGATGGTTGAGTCAAAAAACAATCTCTGCAAATCAGTCTAATTTCTAATTTACCACCTAGATGGTACACACAAGGAAGCAGTAGACATATCTTGACTTTTGCAAAGCCTTTCACACTAGCAATCTGAAGAAAAAACATCTGAAAAGGTCAAACTGCTTCAAAATTGCTCTCAAACAGTAGTTATTAACCATTTTCTCAAACAGAGAGGGTGTCTAACTGGGGTCAGCCTTTGTCCTATCTCTAATCAATGTTTTCATTAGAGAACTGGATGAAATGCAAACTATGAAACCACTAAATCTGTGGACATTACTCAAGATCAACAAAAACGAGTTAATTGCTAACCTTCGGAAGGTGAAATTAAACATAAATTCCACTCCATCAGAAAAAGGGGCGAGGGGAATGTTTGCCTAAGAAGTGCAATGGAAAATGTTATAGAGGTTTGTCAAATAAGGAAAGCGTGTTGCTGATGCAAAGATAAATGCCATTTTGGAAAATATTAGTAGGTATGTCCATACTTGACACATGCCAAGGTTTCAGCTGGAGTACAGTGTCCTAATATTTATATAGCAAGATGTGGACAAAGAGATATTTAAATAATAGTCACAACTCTGAGGAATTTTTCCCTAATTTGCAAAAGTGGATATTGGTGTGGTGGAACAACATAACACAATAACCAATCTTCTCGTGCATGAAGTATCTTGTATAAAACCTGTTGTGATCAATTGACCTGGGCAAGAACAGAAAGGGATCCGCACTACTTGCAGTAAAACTGATGAAGTCTGGTCATTACGCAGCACTGCAGAAGCCACCTGTGGAATCCACTGAATCTATTCCAATGGAATTTAAAGATTATATTAATCAAATATTTAGGAGGGTGTGAGCATTCCTCCCCCTGCTCCATTTGCTCATGTTTGGTGTAGATGACCCCTTGAACTTCTAGTACAAACGGCTACAATAAGGCCACAAGAAGTGTGTAGTATTTCTTTACGCTTATATAAAAAAAAAAAAAAAACACACGATGTTTAAGATGTTTAATTGTAGGAGGGTCCAAACTTCTAGTTACATTGAAAAAGCTGCTAAACAGAAAAAGAAAGAACATCGTTTTTTCTAAGTGTCATTGGGGCTATAGTACTTGGCACACTTGAGTGTAACTACATTTTCCATCTAAGAAATCAGAAGAAACAAAATATCAATGGGCACATTTTTGGATAAATTATTTAATTAGCTAGAATGTTGGTTCAGGCAGCAATCAGTAACAACCTTGCACTATTGATTTGCTGTGGCATTCTGAGCCAAAAGCCAAAGAAGCCAGACCCTATATGACAGAAGAGGCATTTATCAGTACTCCTACTACCTCAATCATCCAACGGTCCTAAAAAACCCGCAAAGCAAAGTACATCTGCTTTATTAGCCCTGCTCTGCCTAAAGTGGAGTGACAGCACATGAAAGCAAAGTTCTTCATTAACGATTAGCCATTAAGTACACAGGGATTCCCCTGCCAGCTTTACATGCTCACCTGAGGGGTAAAGGCAAAAATTTGATTTCTTATCACGTACAGCTTGGAGGTACCCAGCACTCCAATGTGTCGATGTGGACGTCCACTTAATTTCATGTTTTCATTCCTACCTGTAAAGAAAATAGGAAAAAAAGTCACCTAACACTTCCTCTTTGGTTTTCCACAACCACCATTTTAGGCCAAGAGATCTACTTCATTCGTATCAGCAGAGCAAAAGATAGATAAGAATGAGATGCTACAGACTGGTGTGCTTTGTATCAATATAAATCAAATTTTAAATCAATATAATAGCTAGGGTTCTTCAAAGGCCTGATTCAAAATTGAGATTTTGGCTTTACCAACCATGGAATTAGGTCTTTTATATTCATTGCTCAGCCCACAAAACTTCACCACCAAGAAGAAGAAGTATGCCCTTTCAAAAAACAGGCCATCAACATGTAACAGAAATTTCATTGCCTTTCACTGTAGAACCTTAAAAGTCCTTGACCTTAAAAGGCTAAAGCACACCTCAATACAGAGACAGATTTTCTTTTCATGGGGGTAATAAAACCCAATTTTCTCAGTGGGGCTTATTAGCTAATGCTCTGCACTGCACCCTTTGCTCCAGCACCCAGGAGCTGACTTGAATCTGTCTGACAAGAAGAATAAGCCAAACAAGTATGTGCCTGAAAAGAAATCCCTGTGAACATTACCAAAAAAGTCACTGTTAAAAACAGTACACCAATGTGTCAAAGCAGCCTACTCACCCCCCACTAGTGAAAGAAAGCTATTTCAAACTATTACAGAATAAATGCAAACTTCAGCAAAGCCCTGCAAATGTTTCATTTGTTAGAAGTTCTTTGTAATAAAAAGACAAATTCTTCAAAAAAAAAATAAAAATCAGTATATGGAATTTTCCTTCACATAAAGGGCACAATTTCTAAGATTTATTTGAAGGCCATGTTATTTTGGATGTTTCAAAGGTTCTAAAAAACTTCCTATTAAAAAAAAAACAACAACAAAAAACACACAACAACAAACATAACAATGAAAAATAAAACCATGAACAGTCTCATGCTCTTCTTCCACATTATCCATAAACCTTATTGCCATGGGAACATGCTATAGATAGGCAGAGAAGCATGATATAGCTCCCCTTACCTATGCTGAAAAAGAAATCTATCAATGTTGACCCACCTCATAAATCTTACTTTGTAGTAATATCCATAGTTTTGAGTCATAAACTTTTGGCATGCTTCAAGTAGTAAAAGTAAGTTCAATTAGGAATACATGTAACAAATTTTCACCAAGACTTCCTTCATTCCAGCAAGGATTATAAGAAGAGCCAGAGTTGGTTGAAGGCTTATCTGATTTTCAGCTTAACTATAATCAGTTTGAGATTTTGTGCATTTATTTAATCCAGTTGTCAGGCTCAGAGGGACAACAGGCCTCAAGGGCCACTGCTGAGGAATTGGAAATTTATTTAAAGTCTTCAGGTTAGAAAAGACCTAAAGGCTTTTGGATTTGCAGCAGAAATGGAAGCAGCTCTACTCAGCTCAGGGTTGGAAGGAACATAGCAAGAACCTGACAGGCCAGAGTTGCTCTGATAACAGGATAGCTTCCCTGGTTTGGAACCGAAAACTTCCCAGAGAGTCTGCTGGTAGAATGGCAACTGTACTGCAAGGTCTCCAGACCAAAGACAGAAGTATTCTGACTTCTGAAAGGAGAAACATTGCTTTTTCTACATTTTTTTCCAGGCCTTTTTTTGTTTGTTTGTTTTTAAAGCCAGTTTTTCTTTTTGGAAGTAGCTCCTGCAGGACAAAGAGTCAGTGCTTGCCTAGCTCTGTCACAACTAGGCACAGAGAAACTTGTATTTTGGCCATTTTTTCTCATGAGTCAGTTTTTCTTCCCTGTTGGAGACTCTTATTTAAGACAAAAGTTGTAATGCTGTTAACCTTCCCTATACAAATGTGGGAGGTTATTTGTGTTTGGTTGTGTGTTTTTATTTTTTTGTTTGTTTGTTTTGTTGATTTTGTTTTTCAAAGTCAAAGATGTTGAGACAATGGGAAAGAAAACATAAAAATAAAGAACTGTACAGCAGTAGAGAGGCTTCCATATTTAAATACCTACCCAACTTGGTGTAGAGATTACTCAGGATGCGAGCTGGCTGCACTCTCAGTGGATGGATATCAGCAATGCTCTGAACATCAATTCCATGGTCTTGCAGTAGATTCTTAATTTGATTAGATTCTGCCAGAATAGTTACTGCATCACAGAAGACACAAACACCAGTAAGAACCAAAGTTCTTCTCTTTTTAACTGACTGCCTTTATTGTCACCTCTCAGCTACCGTGTAATTGACTAAAAATGCACAAAGACCTTACTTCTTTCTTAATTTATGACTCCATGAGATCTAAGGGGATTGCAAGAGGATTTCAGAGAGCTTCAGGCTCTCTGCTCTTCAGTACATCTTGTCATTCTTTTCCACTCTGGATCACAAAGTAACTCAAATTGGAAGGGACCTCACAAGGCCTCTACTCCAAACTCCTGATCAACGCAGGGCCAGCTCTGAGGTTAAGATCAGCTTTCTTGGGGCTTTATCATTTTTTTTTTTTATCTTTTTCAGTACCACAAGTTTGGACTGTGCAGTCTCTTTCAGGAGACAAGGCTTTGCCCCTGCAAGACCCTGTATTTGTTGCTTTTGTATGGCACATCATATTTACATAGTCAGGTCAATGGCAAAGAGGTGCCATTATCCGTACAGCAATAAATGTTAGAGGCCATTAACTTGGCAGAAGTAGGGGGAAAAAAAGCCCCAAATGGAGGAATTTATAATCCAGAGCCTGATTCTGCCTCTTGTCCTGCATGAAGTTTTGCTCATGCCAGATGGCTCATTGATTTGGAGCTAATAATTCAGTATTCTTTACATTACAAATCGTTGTCAAAGAATGCTAAAAGTAAGAATGCATTTATATTTATGTGAGAAATCAAGCATTTCAGAGTAACACACCACCACCACAATGATACACCAAGGGGGGGGATAAACAAGCACCTGTCTAGGTCAAAATACCACTGATTAAGACTGCTCCTGCTAAATGTGCCATTCTGGAAAAGCAGCCAGCTCAGACCCGGAAAAGGCTTTATCCCTGATCAGTTGGTGTTTGCCCTCCACTTAATTATGTGGGTTTGGCTGTTCCTGAACTGATGAAAGATGCTGCTCCCTGAAGCACACAAAAGGCAGCTCTAAGTCTGGCTGCTTTCTGCTCTCTCGCTTGCTCCTCACCTCCAGGAACAGATCCACCCCACTCATTGCTCTCCTGCTTCCCCTGAAAAAGGGCTGAACAAAAACCTGACTGAATGGACAGGTCTCCTGTCAGTCCTGCTCTTTTCTGCTAGTATCTGCCATGACCTTTCTTTTCAATTTAAAGATCAAGTCTGCCACTCTCCATTCCCCAGTCTTTAGTCTTAAAATTTTACAGAATCACAGAATTTCTAGGTTGGAAAAGACCTCCAAAATCACTGAGTCCAACCTCTGACCTAACAGAAACCAATCCTCCACTAAACCATATCACTGAGCCCTACATCTAAACATCTTTTAAAGACCTCCAGGGATGGTGACTCCACCACTTTCCTGGGCAGCCCATTCCAGTGCCTAACAACCCTTTCAGTAAAGAAGTTCTTCCTAATATCCAACCTAAACCTTCCCTGGCGCAACTTTAGCCCGTTCCCCCTCATCCTGTCACCAGGCACATGGGAGAACAGACCAAAGAAGTATTTTTTAAGAGGTTTGTTAAAGCTGATCTTCTCTCATGGAAAAAAGCAGCCAGAGAAACAACCCTCTTCTCATTATCACAGTATCCCAAAAGCATCTGTGTACCATGTGAAAACCCACATCATTTTAAAACATGTCTTTCTTCATTCCCATACATATAGACTTCACTGCCACATACTCCCATTTACCCAGAACGTTTGAAAAATTCCCTGACCTTGTACCACAACATCAGGTTTAAATCCAGTGGAAAATCTTCTGTTTAAGGGATCAATTTCACCTGCAGCCAGAAATCCCTAGAATAAAAGCAGAATGAAGAAAAAAGAAAGGACACATACAAAAATTAAGTAAAAGGCTTTTGATGACATCTAGAATCTATCTTAACCAATTTTCATTTTTAATGGGGAAGCAAGTCTTAAAGTCTAGTTTTACCATCCACTAAGCAGTATATTCAATAAAAACAGCTGCAATATTTTTCAGAATAATGTGGAAACGGTTATGACTGACACAATCTGCATATCCTGAATTCCTATTTCAGAGTTGCAGCAAGTGAAGCAATTTGCCAGGTCAGTGATTTTTCTGCAGCTCTACAGAGATACTCAGCTGTTCCTTTAACAAGCCCATGACTAATACTGGACAATTCTGCAGGCATTTTATGCCACAGAATAAGGCACAACCCACTGGAGCCGAAACAGTGCAGAATCTTAGCTCTAAAGCAGCCAAGTCAGCTTGGAGTTCACACTCTTCTAGCCTATGCCAGATACCCAGTCCATCTGGCAACTTACTCAGCTTGATAAGAAACAGACAATTTAGTATCTATCTACATATATACAAAAAATAAAAATAAAATAAAATAATAAAAAAAGAAAGCTCCTGAAAGCTCAGAGTCATCCCTTCATTGTCCATGTGCATGTTCTGGAAAATCCAGTGTCCCCTGCCTGACAATCAAATTTTACTTAAAGCCTAACCCAGCTCAGTACAAAATGAAGTACAAACTCACCTACTATACAAGAAATAATTACCTCTGCTAATAAGCAGCTAAGGACGTACATTGACTGGCCCCAAAGGTGAGGCAGCTTTCCCATGGGGACACGATCCACTGAGTGAGGATTTTCATACTCCTCGTCCACCTGACAACAAAAGCACAAACAAGAAAATTACCTTAAAGTTCTGAAGAACAATCATTAACACGGATTTGAAAATACAAAGTCTGTCATCTATCCACTCTAATCTGGTATTATTATTATTACTGATATCTCTTGATTTTACTTCTGAGGCTGAATGCTCTCTAGGACAAGAACTATGCTTCCTTAATGGAAACCACCCGGACCTTCAAAGCTGGAGGTTGAATGGGGACTCTGCATGCAACTAGAGCTTTGGTGTTAGCACCTCCACTTTCTTCTTAGCATCCCTTCACTGCCTTCCTCTGGCAGCTTGAAGGGAATTGTCTGCTTTCCAGCTCCTTGAACAATGATGCCTGAATTTCAATGATGACAATCTATCTTCCTGAAAGTTAACTTGAAGGTGCTTTCCAAAAATGAAGGCTATTCCACATTTCTTGAGTTAGCAAGAATGTTCAATGGAAAAATTAAGACTATTAATTTAGGAAAAACAAACCAACCAACCAACCAAACAAACAAAAAAAACAAGACCCTACAACAACAACATGACTTGATTTTGCAGTATATACATCTTTTGGGGATAGGGGATAAACCCTGCCAGCTAACATCTTTATCCATCTTTAAGCCATTTTGAAATATATAAATAGCAGGCAAAAAACACCCCATTTATTTGTTGTGTTCATCAGATCATCATCACATCAAAATTCACAAGAAGACTGAACTCCTACACACTTGTTCCCACTAGGCAGATAACTCAGAGCTTCAGCCTCAGATGTCTGACCAAAACATCAGCCTTTGGCATTCCTTCCCTTCTCAGACCAAGCCAGAAGGCCCCACGCCCTTACTGCGTGAGGGCTGAGAAGTCTGCAGTGGGAGGAGAATTGGGCAGGGAGAGATACAAAAGCAAATACCATGGAAGAGCACATAATGTTGTCTGAATTTCTGTCACAATGGGATAAACAGGTAAAACACTGACAGCAAAAATGGGAAAAAGGAAAACAATAAACAAACTCACAAAAAAAAAAAATCTAACAAACCCAAATTCATCTGAAACCTGTATTTATCTTAAATACAACCTCTACGAGAAAAAGAGCACAAACCATTGACAGAATAGGCAGGCAGGACAGTTTATGTTTATTTCTTCTTTGAGCTTCAGTTTGTAAATCAGCAGCAGCCCTTTTTAAATATGTCTTGTTATAAGAACTTTAAAATTTTATATCTACTCTAGAACTTCCCTAGGCACTCAAGATTCCGAGCTCCCAGATTTCATCATCTGTAAGCCTGAAGTTTACCATTTGACACTGATTTTGTTATCTATACTTCCCATACAGAAGTGGATGCTTCAGTTTCACAATACCTTTTCTGGAGGGACTGCGTACAGCTCAGGCATTAGAACTATTCCATTCTTTTCTCTAATAAGTATTCCTTCCAAAGCTTCTCTGTACTCTTCTACCTGGAAATATTTACAGAAGGGAGAATTGACAATACATTCAGCAAAACAGAAACAGTAAAAGTTAAAATTTCAGTAATTTTCTGTTGAAAATTAGTAACAAATAAACAACAAGGGTGGTGGTGAGGTGGATCACGACTTGCTGATGGAAGGCTTCAAATTCTCAGATATTGTTCCAGCATCTCAATATTATCAGCCTCCAAAACATGAGCACACATCTTTAACCAGCAACAAACTACTGAAGCACTAAACACACTACAATTGAGAAGTTACTGGAACAAATTCTGCATGCAATTTGATGATGATGATGCAGTGACATGGAATATGTCAGGACTGACAATATCCACGAGGAGTGTAAGGTGTATGAATTGTTAGCTTTCTACCAAGCACATTTGTCTATGATTTTCTGAATCCTGCTTTACAAGATTGGGAATTCAGTTTCTCTTAAGAATTCACCCTGGGGAAAAATTAAAATAGATGTAAACTGATTAAAAATACCTAAGTTAACTGAATGGAAAATCCTCTTGCTCTTGTGTTGCTAGACAACATGTTATGAACAGGAATATCAGGCTGATACAAAATGAAAAACATTCAGTATTCTTTTTGCCAGATTCCTTATTTTCTCCCCTTTCTTAACTACTGCACTCTGAGTTCTTACAGGGAAGCTGTCTTCCAGCACTACCAGAACTTACCTTTGAAGTCCTACTTCTGCTATACCTTTCTGAGGAAGTATCTACAGTCTAATGCACAAGTTAAGGTACCCACATGTTCTGTCAGAGTACTGAAAATACTAGTGTACCATATCTTTATCCACTCTTTCTGAGTCCTCAGGCTGCTTATTTTCCTAACAAGTGCTGCCACTGCAACTACATGTTTGCGACAGTAACTATGGAAGACTAGACGCTCACCGGAGTGTCTCAAGTCACTTTATGTTTATACTGTGGGAACTGGGGGCAATTGTACATTCTGAGCTCACCCTAGCACAGAACATCTGCATACCATAAAGATAATCAGGTACAGACTTTCCTAGATCACCTAACTAAATTCTAAAGACTGCTTTCTGAAGAGAGAGCTTATTGCCAGAGTTTCAGTGAACTCTGATTTTTCTCCTCATGAAACAATGCCATTTCTCTCCCCACCAGACTACTTCTGCTTTGTACAACAAAGCAACTCATATTTCTTGTGCTAGTAAATATCTCACTTGATTTATTACCTCTGGCACAGCAAGGTTTTTTGATCTGAAATTCCCAGCTTTGTTTCTGATGGCATTTTATTTATGATGGATTATATTTAGCAAACTCCAGTCCCTCTGCATACTGGGCAATTTTAGATCACATGTATTCGTTACTTCCTTCAAGCCACCAATCTGCAGAACTCTTGGTGTGAACACACTTAGTCCTGGTTACTTGTTGCTCTTTAAGTTATCAGTAGCCTCCAGGAACGACTTTAACCTTTGGAGGGCTACAGTCAATTTAGCTCCCATGACCACTGAATGCTTGACACAGCAAAGGCATGAAACAACTTAAGGAACCAGCAATTAACTTACGAAATCAGTGAAAATGAAATGGCTCCTCATAAGGGTCTAACCTACCCCAAATCTCCCTGAATGTATGAAAGTGAATTCTTGTGAATCCCAGTGAATTCCCAGTGGTGTTTGATGCCAACAGAGCATCAATAATGCACGAGATTCAAATAGTAACACCTAACACACCACAGCCCCAGAGCAGCATGCAAGACCAAAAGCTCCATGTCCTCACCTAGCTACTGGTATCTGCAGTACCTGATTCATCTACACAAATACTTAATTCGTCTACATCAATATTGCATATGGTGAAGGATCTGCCTTCTGCTGGGTTCTACTACAGGAACGGGTCATTGGGACTTTCATGGAGACAACTAGTAAGCAAAATGAACATAGAGCAAAGCTACAACATACTTCTTTGCATTTCCATTCAAAGGTGTTTCCTTTTTCCTCACCTGAATTTTGTCCTCATTAAATACTCCATCAATTAGGAAGTACGTCCAGAACACTGGCCACTCACATTCAATGTTCTCAAACAGCTTGAGCTCAGCAGGATCGTAGTGCAGCCTGCTTGGATCCTGGAAATTCAATCATGTTCATTTAGTCACGGTGCTAAATTAGTCACTCAAACTCCATACATAATGGAAGCCTATTTTATACAAGTAATTAAAACCAAGAAACCAATAAAAACAAAGGAACCAGCTTCCATGCAGCCTCTTGATTTCTTTTTCACATTCAGTCCCAGGCTCATTTAATCTGTTTCCAGACAAATCAACCCTTCCCAGACTTAGAATCTAGGTGTCATCCAATAATTTGTCTCTGCCCTAGTTCAAAGACACCCTGGGGCACCTCAAACACACTGCTTTTCCCTTAGGCACCGTAAGCATGTCACTCCTTGTAGAATGATGCATTAACTTCTCTCAGTAATAAGTGGTTTTCAAACCACTAGTCTCCTTCAGACATGAGTCATTCCCAGGGCGGATGCCTGGATTGCTACCAAAGATGTCGCCATTAAGATGTCTTAACAATGATGCAGAACTTCACCCTTCATGTACATGAGACAAAAAAAACTGTCCATAAACAAGAAATAATGTTCTTCCTAATGTCTACTGAAAATACACATCAGAAATACCTCTCTGGGTGTCTTGTAGCCATCCCGGAGAAAACGACAGCAGCCATAGCGGCCCTATAAAAACAGACAAAATTACAGAAAACTTCTCATAACCATTCTTCTTCATAGACTGACATCTGTGTATAAGCAGTGAGATTCCAGTGCCACTTAGGGATTTTCCTCCCTCTGTTCCATGCAGAGCCCCACCAAGTCTGTCAATCTCTGTTTAAGGATTTTCAGTTAAGAAAGGAAGTTTTGCTTCTCTTTCCCTCTGAAAATAAAAATAAATGAAATCCTTACCTGCAGTTTGGATATGATTTCACTCTTGGTTACATTAACAAGGTTGACATCCTCCACTGCAAAAGCCGGGTAAGAAATAATAGAGAGAAGGCCAGCATCTATCTCCTTTGACGTGGATGCCCTTGGCAACATGGAGTAAAGTATAGACTGAGCAAAACAGGAACAAAGAGAGGGATGTAAAATAATTTGTCTTGTTCAAAAGACTACGTAAAATGCAAATGGAATATACTATTTGCAAACTGAGAAAGAATTCACTGCATAATTATTTTAGCTGAGTTAATAGGAGAACACACTTTCATGTGATCTACTATAAACAGGGTGAACAGCGCAGTCTGAAGTCATCCTCATTAAGTTCAGTTAATCAACATTAAATTTAAGAACAAAAGGGAAGGGGAAAGGGACCTGGGTTTTCTCCTGGCAAAGGAAAGAGAAAACTAGTTTTTACCTGACAATGTTCTACTTCGTCAGGAAGAACATGAATCACTGATTTGTGCCCTCCGTGAGCTCCAAAAAGATCGAGTTCATCTATTGCTTCCAAAGCAGCCTTCAAAACAAACACACACACACACACACAAAGAAAAACAAACATTAAATAACTTTTAAGTCAAGTATACACCCTAGCACCCGTGCTTTTCTTCAGAATTAAATTAGGTTAGACAGAAATTTGCTCCACAGACGCTTTTGCAACTTAAAGGGGAAGCACTGAAGTATTTTAGAAAAAATAAATATTTTTGCCTTTCCACTAGAAGGATACAGGACTGGTGAGCTGGTGACCCTTCTTATGATTAAAATGCAATGCAAAGCAATGGGGAGCGCTGCTTCTGCTGAGATAATACCTAAAGAATATTTAGTAATAAATGCTCCTCCTGTTCCACAGCCCAAAGTAACTCCTCCATTTAGCAGCCTTTCAATCCTGCTTCCTGCAGGGCTATTCACAGAAAAAGGCTTGCTCAACATGCCCAGGACCATCGGAGGCTGGTTCCCGGAGAGGAGAGCATTGCCATCTCTTTACTGATACCAGCACCTCCTGAGGGAAAGAGAGATGAGATGTCTGCTCTCTGCATTCCTAATGGCCAACCAGACACATCGTGCCCTGTCTCTGCATATCTTGTACCTCACAGCCATAATGTGTATGCCTAGGGAAGACATTAACAATCCAACCACTTTGTTTGAGCACCCCTACTTTAACCTAGAAGGCTACGAAACCCTGGCTTTGCTGATGTGGGGCTTGCAGAGCCACCCAGGGACTGGGGCAGGAAGAGAGCAAGGACTGGGCTGCCAGAGCCAGCTTAGCAGAGCTTTCCCCTGAAACTCCAGTTTGCTGGGCTGTGGTAGCACTGAATGCTGTTCCATTGTTCCATGTCCATTTGTATCCTGCAGCTTCACCCTAACGCAGAGGGACCACAGCAACCCCCACCAGACTGTTCAAGACAAAAACCTCACGCTGAGGCACCCCCACTGAACCTGCCTTATCACTATTTGACTCAAATGCAGCCAACACCAGCAGCTTCTCCCTCTTGCAGCCAGCCACACAGGATCTTGGTTACTGATAAATCATGATCATGCTGAAATGCAACTGCAACTTTGATGTTAATAATACTCAGCTTGTCAGTCCCCCAGATGCCTTGTGAATTATTTCTTAAGACTGATATCCTGCTGTTTTCCAGAATTTACATCTTACTTAATCTTATCACAAAAACATCCCATATAATACTGAGGGTAGATAATTAAGAAGGAGGAACGGAAAAAAAAAAAAAAAAAAAAAGGCCACTTCATGAGACTGTACCTCACTGAATCTATCAGATGCATGCCTCAGTGACCCTGCTAGATGTTTTGCAGTCCTTGGAACAACTGTCCTTCAACGGTAGCCATTATCACAAGGATTTGGCACTAAATATTCAATTCACACCCAAACAAAAATTCTTATACAATCAGTTAACAGCTGCAGGGGCCAAGAAAGCTATGCAAAGGAAGCTATCGGGTTCACTAGAGCCATTTAGAGTAAGAGAACAGCCAAGAAGGAGGAGTCAGGAAGACATTCTCACTTTGGCCATCCCTACGGAGCTCGCGTTCAGTTCAGGGATGCCCTGGTTTGTCTTATCACCACGTTCCCAAATGCCATAATCCTGCAAGAATAACATTCAAAAAAAAAATGGCATGGTTACACACAAAACTAGTTATTTCCCTCCCTTGCCTCCACATGCACAGCCCCAGCACAAAACCAGACCCTTGTATGAAACTTGTCTATTGGCCTTAAAAATAAAATAACAAAAAATTCCTCAAGTTTCTGAAGAGCTCCTCCTCATGTTTAAAGAGCAGTTCATAAAGACATATCCCAGCAGGATAAGGTCTATAATCATGAACCACTTTCTGCACAGAACACACAAAGCCCTTTATCCTGCATGCTTCTCCCTGTACCTCTTCAAGACTTTACTTTCCAAAAAAAACGTTTGACAACAATTTGCTCTTTTTAGACAAGCCCATAAGATGAGACATCAGGAGTTATTAGTTACCAATAAAGCTCAAAATAATAATTTAAGAAAATCTATTATGATGATAGAACAAATATACCTCACCCAGGCAGCAGTAAATCCCTCTACAACCCTCCCACCATCTCCAGAGGTGCTGCTCACAAGGTAAAGTACTGACAGATTCTGACATCCTCTCATGGAAAACGAAGCCCATGTTTTCATTCACCATCAATAAATAATTTTCCACCCATATCTGAACAGTGTTCAGATGTTTAACACTTAAGTATGTACTTACAGCAACTTTGTAGGCAGCTTCTATGTAGAAAACAAGATTCTGAATAAAAGCAACTTCATCAAGGGTGAAGATGATACGTAATCCTGATTAGAAGAGGGGAAGAAAATAATTACACATATTAAAATAGAAATATTTACTCTTCAGTGAGTTTCAAGCTTTTGCCTCTTTGCTACCAAATACTGCCCACAGAAACCAATGGAAAAACTCACACTGACAAGCAGCTGCTTGTTTTTTGTTTGTTTTTTTTTTTTTTTTTTTTTTATTTGCTGCTGATAAAATATTTCAAATGCCACCAATACACATCACTTGTTTCAAAGACCAGCCAAAAAAACACCCTCAGCAGGAGAGTGGCATTCATCCCCAGAGGGCACAGAGCAGAGATGCCTGGGCCAGCTCTGGCTCTCAAGAACTGTGTGGCACAACTCCAGCAGCAGCCCCACCCCACCATCTGCTTCTTGCTCTGCCAGGAGATCACCAGGATAAGAGCCTTATCCTCTCAGGAAGAGCACAAAGTAAAACAGTGCCAGCAAGAAAGGAACACAGTAGTGGCACCTGACTCGATGTGGTCACTCTCTGAAGAAACCTATTTGTCCATCAGCACAATCCACATAGTCTTCAAACACAGCTCTTCTCTGACATGACTCTGTGTAGCTCGTGTATTTGTATGCCAACAAACTTTAAGTGGATGGACACTGCCTTGGCAGTTTACTGTGCTTATGATCCAATTTCACATCTCTATCTCTTTTCCACAGAAACATTTTCCGAGTAATAACTACGCAAAGATCTTTGAAGCTAGTTACAACTCTTTTCCATTTAAATGAAAGCTAAAACACAAAGACTGCAACAACATCCAAGGCTAGCATAACTTCTGCTTACCTGATGCTGTCATCTGTGCCAAGAAGAGCAGGTAAAGCGAAGTTGCATCTACTTGCAGATGTCCCCACTGGTCATCTCCAACCACCGTGGCACAAGTAGCTGAGTTATACTTGGCGTGAAGGCAGTCTTTGGTACTCTGTGTGCATTTGAACTTCTCTACCTTATCTACCTAAAAAACACCAGAGATTTCGAATATGAATAACATTGGAAGAAATTCTCCAAATAACTTCAAAACAAGCACCTTGTCTTAGGAAAGATGAAACACAAGGTCCTAATTTTTGTTGCCTCAGTTTGATAGCAAAATGAAGTAACAGAGAGAGAGTGCTTTAACTTCAGACTCTAGCTAAATCCTTGTCTATTTGGGAAAAAAGTAGATTTAAACCACCTTGTTGAAATTCAGATCTCTGTTATGGGTATGCATATTTGTGAAAATCAGTTTGCAAATGCAAAACGGATTTGCTACAAGCCTGATCTCAAAAAGGTGCAAGTAGGACCAGTTTTGCTCAAAGAAACTACACAACTTTAAAAAGACATCCCATACCACCTTGTACAAGTGTAAAAACACAATCATTTTGCAGGAAAAAAAAAAACAAACAAACACACGGAGTATCTGCTTCAAATGAAATGCTTTGTATTTACAACACATACTAGTTCAGCTCATACCTACGCCAAAAAGTTTTCTCCCCCACTGGCAACAAACACAAGTGGAAGTCAATCAAACCATTCACTGCTGCTTGCCTGCAGGTCCGTGGTACTACGCTACTGCCAGATGGACGCTTTCCATACAGTAATGGCTCGGAGAGCTAAGGCTCTTCATTCTGGGCACACACGTTTGCCAGAATACTTTCCTTCTCTCCCTCCACCCACAGCCCTGCACCTCACCTTGCTGCTACCGGCAGTAGATGTTGCTGGGTTATAACATACCTGTCTCATCATGCACTGTAGGAGTCCCCGCATCAGCTTCACAACGTTCTGCAGGAACAGAGCAAACCAGTGACACTCGTGCATCGCCAGTCTTATCAGATGTTACAAACATTCAAAAGTCACAAAGTTCACATTCCCTGCTAATGTCCTCCCAAACACAGGAAATTGTGTTTGACTCAGATGCTTTAAATGCCTTTTTTAATTTATTTTTTTTTTATTTGGTTGATCCCTATCTAGGAGAATAAATCTTTTCCCATGGGTCCTCTCTAAATAGTGGAGCAACCCTCTGTGGTCTTTCTATCTGGCTAAGGGAGAGTAATGTCACACATAATGGTTTGTAGAGCACCAGATCCAGGGAACACTGCTAAATAACTGCAAGCCATTGACACAGTAACCTGTGGAGTCTCTTCATCTCTTTACACAGCACAGCAGCAAGCAGATGACTAATGTGAAGAAAGGGACTTTAGCGTGCACAAAGAGAAGTACAAGATTTAGTCTGAAATGAAGAAATCAAACCCATTTTTTTTTTAATCCAGAAAATTATTAAAGCCTCAAAAGATGATCAAGCAAACTGAGCCAAGGTTGTGTCACCACAGACCACCCCAGTTTGACAAGTACACATCTGCATAAAGTTTATGCCTTCAAAACTACAGCAGGATACTGACTCCCTTGCCTACCATTTAACCTGCCTCTACACTCTCTCTTTTGATACCCACTTTCCCAGCTATGGACTAAATAAAGTAACTGTGTGAGCTACCTCCCCTTCCAGTTCCCTCCCACTTTGGAGATCTTCACCTTTCTTTCTGACCAAACGTGTCTATACACCATGTATGCCTTTCATGAGACTACACACATGCACATTTCAAAGACGGCTACTTTAAAGGGCATGTTCCTCCTTAAGGGAAAGAACAGTCCAGCAGATAAAATGATATCCCAGGATTCAAGCAACCTAAACTTGATTTTTGGCTCCACAATACACCTCATGAGGAATCTCAAGGTTTAATCTGAGAGGCTTGTAAATCTGGGCATAACATTTCTCGGAAGCCACACAGTGGAAGTTTGACTCCTACCAGTTTCTATTTTGTTTATATTTTAGTTCAGATGTTAGCCTCTCTGTTGCTCAGTTCTCCAAATCTTACTTCCTGGGAGGCAGCTAGAAATACAGGCCACCTTGTGGCACACAGACACTACTGCCAAGGGAACAAAACACCTATTCCATGCTGGGAAAACTGTGCCAGATCCTACACAAGGCAGCAATGCAAGCACACCACTCACAACCACCATCCTATGAAAAACAAACAAACAAACAAAAACAAACAAACAAAAAAATAGCACAGCTGGTTTATGCCAAAAACGTTGACGTACCTGCTCAAGCTCGTAGGCTTTGGCCTTATCCTCGTCCCGGTCTGCATTCTTTCGGTAAGCCATCCCGAGCCCCCACACCGCCAGGATGCTGTAGACGTTGTCCCGTACCCAAGCATCCTTATGGTCAGTACCAGCTGAAAGCAGCCCTGTTACTGGGTTCTAAGCAGAGTACAGAGAGCACAGAATGGACATTATTACCTGAAATCCCATCTATTCAGATGAACCGATTCTTTCCTTATTAAAAGAGAAAGAAACAGAAACAAAAGAGAGAGCCAAGGATGATTTCACACTGGTTGCACACTGCGGCTGTCACAGTTTTACAACAAAAGAGAGGCTCAGTCCTTTCCCAAACTCACACAAGGGAAATGCAAAATTTCTTTCGATGCTTTGGGATATAACTTACAGCACCTAGCTGGGCATCCTCATCCACCCGGGATGATTAGCTAAGTCACTAGGTGAAATCTGAAACACACCGAGGAAGTATGAACTTAAATTTTGCATATTTGGAGGGAAAACAGGGTACTGAGTTAGGACTAGAAACCTAGATTAGGATCTGTTCTTGCCTGTGGCATGACCTCAGCCTGTGGCATGACCTCGAGGAAGTTAAAGAAATACTACTTCCCTTCCAGGAGGTGAAAAAAATATATGTTTATTTAGCTGTGTGGTTTATGAAAGCTGAAGCATGAATGCATGCAAAGTCCTTTTATATCCTCCAATGTGTAGGATGGCAAATTGTGACGGTGCTTGACAGCAGCGCTGCCTGAAACCCAGCACGCCGAGTGGGTAGTCTCTCGCGCTCCAAACACTCCATTAATGTTTTCATTTAATCACTGACTCCCGTCACTTCATTACCATTAATTTTTCAGGCTGTTTGTCAGCTGTGTGTTCAAACAGAGAGGCTGGGAAGGATGTAAGATCAATTGCTGCTGGTGAGATATCTGACCCCTGGCATATGGGACCCCTGGCATATGGAACACGGGCTCGGTGCCCGCCGCCACCGCTCAGCATCTCGCGTGCCAGCTCCACACGCCTGGCATGCTCCTGGGCGCAAGGTACAAGGTCAGGCACGTAGCAAGCCCCTGCAGCATCTTAAACCCTTGGTGAAGGGGCTGGAGGCGGATGGTCCATGGGGTCCCTTCCAACCCAAGCCAGTTTCTAAACACCTCCTGCTCGTGGGCACGCAGGTGGCTCGCTCGGGCTCGCTGCTGAAGCCTGGAGACCCATCCCACAGCATCTCCCCAGCCCCTCCGGAGCTGCCTGCCTTGCTGCCACCCGGCGTCTCCCCCAAATCCTCACCGCCCCGTGCCACGCAGGGATGCAGCCCAAGGTCACCCCCGCCTCCCCTGCAGCGACCGCGGAGCCCCCCCAGCGCCTCCCCCCCGGGCTGGGCTCCATTCCCCCGGCCTCGGCTCTGCCCTCACCTGGTGGCAGAGGATGGTCCGCTGCACCAGCCGGGCGTAGCCGTCCAGCCGCACCCCCGAGTTGCTGCGGCTCCTCATGGCCGCCCTCAGCCCTCCTCAGCCCCCGGCCGCGCTCGGCAGCAGGAGATGGCGGCGGCCGCGGGCGGGGCCCGGAGCCGCCTCCCCTCAGCGCCCGGGGCGGGAGCAGCGCCGAGGCCGAGAGGGGCGGCACGGCTCGGCTCTATACCTGACCGTGGAAATAAAAAGTCCTGATCGGAGAGCTGCCGGGTGGCTTGTGGCTCTCTGGCAGCATTTGGGGACGATCTGCACAGCAGGAGCGGGGGCAGGGCTCTCCTCACAAGCTCGTTACCTCCCTCAGTCGCAGCCGTGCAACTGTGGTTCGGTGAGGGTTTCACAACCCTACAACAGCATAAACCTACACGCTTATTGCTCCAGGGCATCACTTTTTACTATAAACGTCAACGCAGATTGCACAGGCTCAGGGAACAGGTTTGCTCTCCGAGGTGGTGCCAGCTGCACACCGTGTGCTGCTGTTTACCCAAACCTAAGCTCCAAATCTCCTGACACACGTCCTGGGCTTAGCTCCACAACCACAAGTCAATGCGTAGTATTCCAAGCTGCTTTCCCTCAGAAAAGGGGTTGCAGCTTTCAGCAGGCTCTGAGCTGCCATGGCCACACCGCTAGCAGCACACAGAGGAACAAGTGCCAAGTCTGTAGGCCATAATATGGCTTAGTCACAAAGCTGTACATGATCTACTAGGACCTGGAAGCCACAGAGCTATGTTAATCACAGCATGCCAACTTGTTTAATTGCATTTTTTGGTTTTGTTTTCCCCAAAATAAAAGCAAATGAAGACTCCAAGCAGCGACAGGAGATATCCTTCCTAGTATGGAATTTAATCATCGAAGCCAAACTCAGCTATGTGCTCACAGTGGTCTGATGAAGACTTTCAGCAGACTTGAGGACAAGCATTGAGCAGACAGACTTAGGTCAGACCTTCTCTCTGCTAAAAACAGATCTGCTAGAACCATGAAACGTGAAATATGATGTAGGAAAAAAAAATAAAGGCAAGGGCAAGGTCAGCATTTTCTCCAGCTCACGTCATCTGAAGAATTGTAACACAATCCAGTATACCGACACATTTATCTAAAAGACAAAGTTTATGTATTTTATGTGTTTACTTGCTGTAAATTTATTATTTTTTACAGTTGAAAATATAAATACAAGAACATTAAATAAATTTACAAGAAACAGTGCAAAGGCAATTCACCAATAGTTAAAGCATTCACAGAAATGCATTCCAGCTACTAGCATTCCAGTACTGTCTTTTATTAACATGCAGTTAAAACCTCATGGATAAATACAACAAATACTTTAAGTTCGCACTTCAAAAGCATATTCAGAGTAGTCTCAGACACAGGTGACCAAAAGAACCCAGGCATTGCATATAGGACTGCAAGAGGGTTTGAGTATTGAAGAGGTTCAGTTGCTGAACTATGAGAGAGCCCCAGAAAGGAGGTGTTCAACTGATGCATTTGGTTGAGAAGAGCATTTCCAGGGCTCCCTACTGAGTCCTCTGGGAAAACAAAGTACTCTCTCCCTTGCAGCATATGCCTGCCTCAAAAAATTCCCCTTCCAGGGTCCATCAGTCTGCAGTGTGGCACTAAATTTGTTCTAGCTCTTTCTCTGGCAGCATCCAACCTTTCTCCAAGAACGCACGGAGCAGAAGAAATGGCCACAGCTGCACACCTGCGTAAGAAGTAGGCACAACCAGGGCTCCTGCTAATTTCTCTTCAAAAGTCTTCACAATGTTGGATGGGTTCTATTTTCGTTCAGGTGTTTCACATGAAGAGCCCAAATCCATCTTTTCCAGACAAATAACACAAAGAAAATGAAACCTTGCTTCATGAATTACTGAGCTAGTGCCTCAGGATTTGGTTTGCCAAAAAAGGACCAAAGTACAAACAGAAATACATTGTAACTGCTCAAGAGCTGCCCCTTAAAAACAGCCACTCAACAAAATGAACAATTTACTAGACTACTAAATACAGCAGCTAGCATTTATTTTCTGTATTTATTTTTTTAATTCAAAAAATAACACGTTGTTACTTTATCGTTGCAGATGAGAAATGGCAGTGTGTTTAATCTCTGGAACCCACACTCAAGACAAAATATTGACTCTGCTGAAATCAATGGCAAAAGCTTCCACTGACTTCCTCCAGCCACTACGGCAACGTAGCTGTATTTAATAACCTACTGGCTACTTTGCTTATCAATCCCTCATTCTTGGCACTCTCCTTTGAAAACACCCAGTTTCTTACACCTCTCTGTTGTCGTATGAGGTCACTAAAGGTTAAAGACCAATAGTGTTTGTATTTACAGTCCTGTATCTGGTGAATGTATTTAAACCACTGTAAGTGATTTTACTTACTGAACAAATTAGCTTCTGTATCATTCTGTGTTAAAGTAAATTATTTCAATTAAAGACAAATGCAAAGTACAATAAAAGTTAAAACAAAACAGCAATTATTTTTCTATACAAAGGAATATTTAAATTTACAAGAAATAAATATAAAAGTATCACTAAGATGCTTAAAGGCAGACATTTTCCTGCTTATGTACAGCACTATAGCCTGCAACTACAACATACAAAAAGTTGAAGACAGTATAGCTAACATTTTTAAAGATGTAATTTGTATGCAGAAGTTGTAATTTCCTACATTTATACAATACTACCTATGCGTTATAATTATATCCAGATAAACTTAGATGTAATGAAAAAAGCTCTAAACAAAACTTTCTTTTAAATGTAAAAATCCTCAAAAAACCTCTAATGAAGAATGAAAATGGGAACACACCAGCTGTAATTCAACATCTGAAATACCTTGTCAAAACAGTAGCTCCCTCCCCACCTTTTTTTTTTTTTTTCCAATTAGTAATTGTCCTTGTCAATACATTACATGCTGCCTTGAAGTTTCAGTACCATATATTAAATAAAATCAGTTTTTGGTCTTCTCACATTATGTAAAAACTGTTGAAGTAAATCTCTACTTCACGCTGTAAAACAATGTTCTGTTTCAAAGGAAATCACATTTTCTCAATGAAAGTTAGGCTTCCCCTCTTTGAAGTCCTTCTGAGTGAGATACGGCTATTTTGGCTGCCTGTATCATCCTTTTCTTGGAATGCAAGTTGTTTGCCTGAAAAGTCATGAAGACACACGTCACCGTTCTGTACGCTGAAAGAAACACCATTCTTCTCACTGGAAATATGTCCTGTAGAAACAAACAAAAAAATGCATTCCCTATCAGAAAAGTAGGAATTACGTATTTTCAATAGTGAAAGTCACAATTCTCAGAATACGGACTTTGACTCTGAATAAATATCACTAGATAATATGCAAAATAATTCTAATTCTAGTTTTTCATTAACTAGTTAAATAAAAAAGCGTTCTTAGTTTTGCTTTGTATGTGAAACAAGAAACTGTTGGACTAAACATGATACTTTTTTTCCTTTGAAGTGCACTCATCTTGCAACATTTATTTCTGGAGAACAATCAGAATATGGCCTAGCTCCAAATATTTTTCTAAGCCATATTTAGACTGAGAATCTTAAACATTTGGGTAACCCTACAGTGAACATGTGTCATACCACTGCTGATTGCCACCTACTAATGCAATATAACACCAGCTCCACAAATGCTTGATTCTCCAGATAGAATCTCCTATGTCTAGATAATTTTTCTGTGAATTAGGATGTCTTATTGTAAGTATTTGTGCAGATGGATTTTATTCTCTTTTTTATTATTATTATTATTTTATTTTTTTTCAGAAAGCATGCAAATTTAAAGAATGTGCCATGATCCTGATACCATATGTATCATATGAGTAGGACTAAACTGCAAGGAATATCAGGACAGGAAAACCCCCAAACAGAACTGGTATTTTTTCTGTGAGAGAATTATTTTGTTATGTTAAACATGAAAAATAAGTTCACAAACACTGATGCAAAACTGTCATTTACACCAGAAACAGCAAAATACTAATAAAAAATGTTTAATAAAAACACAAAACATCAGATTTTGCTATTTGCACTAATATAACACTTCACAAACAAACATCATCAGAACTGGCTATTGTTAAATCTACTGAAAAGACACAACAATCAATGCAGAAACTGCTTGCCACTTATGGTTTTGGCAAGAGCAGAAGTACTGGTGAGAAACACTGAGACAGTGAAAGATGAGTCTGTTACAGGGATCAAGATCTGATCTTCTCTAGTACACCTGGCTTCAGTTCATCATATACCTCGAGTATCCTAGAGCAGAATCCTGCTATGGCTCTGCCCTCCCCTTTCACTTTCTTGCTGCCTTGGGCTTCTGAACAACCCTTGCAGAAGCACATGCAGGTCCCATGAAAGGCCACATTACAGGATGGCTTTTAACTATTTCTTGAGGTCTCCAGGGGGAGAAGTATGTGGTGACATTCCTCCCCTGCACTTAACCCTTCCTGCAGAAAGGATTCAGCTGCTTGAGTGACTGGCCTGGACTGCTCTTCTCTCTTCTGCTTCAGCCAGGGCTCCTAGGCACACAGCTTTAGTATCGCTCTACCCAAATAGTTCCTCTATAGCATAAGCATTCACTTTAGGCAGACTGCATGCCTTTCAGCAGTTCGCCTACTCACTCAAGCACATGTCAGTGTATCAGCTGCATCAAAGCCTCATTTCTACACTTTTCTTTGGAATGAGACAGTATTTATAAAATAACATGTGAACATGTGTTTTTTCTAGTTAATAAATCTTCCTAGCAGTTTGAAAATGTAATGCATATACAACTAAATCTAAACATTTCAGAATGAGAGTTTAAGGAGGTGAGCTTATAATGATGGCTGTCAAATAAAAATTACAAATTCCTTGCCAAACTACTGAGGTGCCACTGGGACTGCAAAAAGGAAACAACGTCTCAACAGATTATATAAAACCTCTTAAATATAAAGTTGACGTTTAATGATTAATTTAAAAGGTCATCATGCACTAAAACATACACAAAAGTAAAGAGGGTAATATGAGCAGAAGAGCTTTCTTAATCAACTCAAATCAGATAAAGACTGAAATGGGAGACAACAACCATAGTTGCTGACATAGTAATTGAGCATAAATACATGTTTATCCCCCTGCCTGACTGATACTGATTTATTTTAGAAGCAGTATTCTAAGCAGCCATGCCCTAACGCTAGGGCAAAATCTGAGGAGAAAAGGCTATTCAATGAACAAAATCAGAAAGGTTGTTTCTGTT